AAAAAAAAAAAAATCAATAAAATATATTTAAAAAAAAGAAATTTATATAAACCAACTAAAGTTACCTTTATGGATTGCCTCTATACCGTGCACTATGGTTCATCTGAAACCAGTGAGAGACCTCATCACCTCCGTGTTGATTATGAGGAACCTGAGTTTGGCCATGTTAAATGACCCCCCCAAGAACAGAATCATAAAGGAGCCTGTTGATAGCACAGTCTGTCCAGAAACTCTCCCCCTCGACTAGCGTGAAGCGGGGCACTGCAGGCCTCCAGCAGACGTGCAAAGCACCCGAGATGGTTTTCCAGGACCTTGAACTGGCCCGCAGAATTCCAGCTTGGAGCATCTCCCCTGAGGGCACGGGCACATTGAGTTTTTGCATCACGGTGCTGTGCTAGTGCGGGACTCTGTCAACAGAGGTATTTTCTGTCCTTGAAAAAAAAAAAATAGCAGAGCTCCCAGATGTGACCTACCTTGATCACCAAATATTGAAAGTTATTTTTCCTAAACATGTGATTTTATAGACTCCACTCGCATTGATCAGCGGCTGCTGCTGAACAGAGTGGATTTTGGGAGTCGGTAAATTCTCAGCAGTGCAGACAAAGAGTGCTTGTTTGGCAGTCACCTGTCATCCTCTCTCCGGCACGCACTCATCCATTTGTCACAACACTTTGTAGGGAGGTGAGCCGGGAAGCTTAAGAAAAATGCTTTCCTCTTGTCTTGATGATAGAAAGCATTGCTCACAACTGGTAGCATGGTGGTAACTTTTCATTCCTCCTGGCAGTTTTTAAAGACTTATTTGACTTTGGGGGAACCTGCTGTATATCTTTAAGTGACGGTGCAGAAAAGTATGAGACAGGGCCATTCATTTTCAATTTCGGCAGAGAGTCCTCACTCTGACGGTGGCACTTCAAAGTTAGGGGAAACTTGGCTTTAAACATGGATGCTGATACGGAATGGCATATTTAATGACAGATGTATCTATAGAAAGCTGTTAAGATGCAGATTATTCCCCCCCTGGGGTGGGGGAGGGAGATCAAAACTGCCAATCTATAAAATATACTCGATGGCCCGGAATCTATCTTTGCCAGCCTTTGATTGCGGGGGACAGTGGAGCAGCATGTGGCATCGTAACCCAGAGCAGACAAATCAGCCTGATGACTTTCAAAGCCAGGAACACCGCTGCAGGCAAGGGTACTCCCGTCTGGGAGGAATTAAAACATATAGCGCCTGTTATTAATTCCATATCTATTTTTGTATAGTCAAATCTGTATGCAAATCCTCAGCATCTCATTTCAGCAGATGAATCTGAATGTGAGGAGGGTTATGTGAAGGGAATGTAATGACCAAGCTCTGCCAAGGAGTAACGCTGCCAGAGACATGTGGACGGAGAACTTGGAGGCTTTTTAAGAAACGTATGTTTTGTACTGAGAAGGAGCTGTTTTTATTTATGTGCTCATTTGTGAATGATTTCAAAGGGAAACACAAGAAAGCCAATTTCTAAGGTTTTTCCCTTGCAGTCCTGACTTGGCAAAAGTTACAGCACTCGGGCATTTTAGGCGCCTCCTGTGGTTTAACATGCGAGAAGTAATCAACCAGATAACTAACTAGGACTTCAGTCTCTACTCCCGACTAGTAACCCAATATCTCATTTCTGAACATTGTCGTGTGAGTGAAAATTTGTTTGTAAGGGTAAAGAATCTAATTACTGAGTGCAGATTTTACTGCAGCTGATGCATCTGTGGAAGACAGTAAATAATAATTCTGAAGAGGGTAAAGATAAACTGTGTGCCCTGCTTGGGAGAGAGGATGTAATAGCTACATTCTAATCCACTGGTGGTGCATTTAATCTATAATGGGCAGAGTTTGGTGCATACAGTAGTGTAAATATTTTCAAATAGTGTCATAAACAGATAGTTTACGGCAGTAGATATTAATTCTGTCCCATATTTCTAAAGCAAGTAGGTAAACCATCAGAGTTTTGATAGAGTGGGTGGGAGCCTTACCCTCTGTTCCCTCTCATTTGGAGAAATGATTACGGGTGAGCTGGCTATTAATCTGGCGGTTATGGCCCAGATCAAAACTTGGCAATCATTTTCATACTGAAGACTTGCGAGGTCTCAATAGGTTTGATTATTCTTGTGTAGAAAGAATTATTGGACATTCAGTTTTTAATCAGATAAGAAAAGGAAGGTTGGGAGGAAAAACCAAACATACCGCTGCATTTATGTTGCGATGCATTTTCACTCCATGTAAGCACTTCAGCCTCAGCTTTCTCAAGTGTGTTTTCTTTTCATTTTTAAAATGAGACATTCAATGAGAAACACAAAGAAGACTTTTTTTTTTTTGAGGGCAGGAAGCTAATTTCTCTCTGTTATTTGCATTTCCTCCTTGGACAAATCTTTCATTGAGCTTAAAAAGTGGTTGCAAGCTTCAGAGAGAATTACAAAAATAAAAAGCCCTCAGTTAATAACAGCCATGGTCAATTACATGAAAGATGTAATCTCCTTACTAGAGTTGAATGAGAGAATAATGACTGGCCTGGACAGGTTCCCTGCCCTTCACGTATCCTTAGTATTAATTGATTATTTCAGTTCAGTTGAAGGCTATGTACTAACCCTCTGCATTCTGGTTGACTTGACACCTGCCATGGAGTTGATGGTGGTGACCTATTCAAAGTATCTGAATCTTCAAAGCAGAAGTTATAATGGACAAAGTAAAACAGACAAGGAAGACTTTATCTAAGACTATTATTGCACTAGTGGAGAGAGACCAGAAAGCAGTCTGAAATCATCTCCTCTGGAAAATAAGAAGCCAGAGGGTTTTAAGCAGAGGGGTGAACTCATGGAAAAGTACCGAGGGCCTTGGGAGGAAGGCTCATCAATGTGATCTGTTGAGCACGTTCTGTTACCCCTGAGCTGGTAAGTGTTTCTCTCTGTATTTGGGACATTTGTGTTTGCAGATTGGCACCCCCGAAGTTAGGCTCCTACCCTCCGTAGAAAATGGGAGATAGGGGCCTTGTCTGCCTTGATGATTACATTTCAACGGGATAGCTCCAGATCTTGGAGGAAGATGTTCCTCAGTCTAAAACATGCAAGAAGCTCCTTAAATGATTTACATCTTATGGAGACAGAGAATGAATTTATAATCACAAGTTTTCTAAAGTGTGTGCTCTATGAAAAGGGAAGTTAGGGGCCTAGAGGCAGGAAGGAGCATGTGTATAGTCAGGCTGACAGGGATATGACTGTCTTGGACAGTACTGGAACAGTACTCATTTAAAAAAGTTATCTTTATTGTTGAAAGTATTACAGATGTCCCCTTTTTCCTCATTGACTCCCTCACCCCCTGCTCCCACCACCCCCTGCCCCCCAGACCTTTACCACACTATTATATGTGTCCATGGTTTATGCATATATGCATATAAATTATTTGGTTAATTTCTTCTCGCCCTTCTCCCCACTTCCTGATCTATTTCATGCTTCCATGTCTCTGGATCTTTCAAAAAAATTCAATAGGAAACTTTTTAGTCTAGCTCAACTTTAGATATTTATTGCAAAAGTAGCTGCTTCTTTGTAATACTTATTAAAATAAGGATGTCAATTTAGCTAAAAACAAGTATCTAGTAATGTGTGTGAGGCAATATTTTTAAAGATAGAATTGGAGGAGGAGTACTTATATTTCTGTTATTACCTAACATTTGATATTATATTGTTTTCTTTTTGCTGTTTTGTTTTTTAGCTTTTCCATTTAATGGTAAAAATTAAAATAGAATCAAGTATTCCTGTGTTTTTTAGGGCTCAGTGTATATCACAAACATGAAAAGAAGTATGAGAAATTTAGCTAAACATGTAAGAATTTTTTAGTTGTTCTTGATTAAGCAGAAGGCTTCAGTTTTTGTGTGTGTGTTGTGTGTGTGTGTTTTTTTGTTTGTTTGTTTTTTAACCTAAGCGGTTTTCAAGAGGGGAGAACAAAAGGTGAGGACAGCAGCAGCTGTGGTCTGGAAGAATGCTGTCCAGTATGGTAGCCATTAGCCACGTGTAGCTCACTGAGCGCTTGAAAGGTGGCTAAATCTGCATTGAGATAGGCTTTGTCAAATAAACATTTGAAGACTTAATATGAAAAAATATATCTCAATATTTTTTACATTGATATCATATTGAAAAAGATAATATTTTGGCTATTTGGCTATTTTTAATGAAATGAAATTTATATTTGGTTTAATTTCACTGTTTTTACTTTTAACGTGGCTACTAGAAAAGTTAAAATTGCATATGTGACTCACAACTGTGAGTCTTGTTATGTTCTATTGGATAGCATTGGTTCTAGGTTTCTTTTTTAAAATATGTTTTCAATGATTTTAGAGAGAGAGGAAGAGAGAGAGAGAAACATCAATCAGCTGCTTCCTGCGTGCTCCCTACTAGGTAGGGATCCAGCCTGCAACCAGGGCATGTGCCCTGACAGGGATTGGTGCATGGGGCAACACTCAAGCAACTGAGCCACACTGGCCACAGCTAGATTTCTTTTTATAAGTAATGTCTTTTCTTAGATATGGTTCTTCTAAAGAGATATGAGGATATCGCTGTGTTAGTATATAGAAGGCTAGAGATGTAAAACTGTCAATTTAGCTAAAGATAAGAATTTTCTGAAGAACTATGTTCCTAGCATAAATTGCAGAGATTTGTCTGTGTGCTGTATTCACTCCCACTCCCTCTTACTCATTTCCCCTCATTCTGGCCATGTTGAGCAGCTTGCCAGAATTGGGGATCTCTTGCTAATCTCTGCATACTTGCTGCTTGCTCTCAACTGGATTGCTTCTGAAATGTCTCTTGAAAATGAAACTTCTTCAAAATAAGATTCTTACTTATGTCATAGGTTCACCATAAAGGTATACAAACAGATTCTCAATAGTAGCTAATTTTTCTTTAATTATATCTCGTTTTCATGTTGGAATATCCTATTTCTTATTCATGAAAGCTCTAACACGTGTTAATCCATTACAGGTGGAGTAACTAATACCGCACAGTATCAGAATAGACTAATGGTGTATGAACCTAACCAGGTAAGAATCCTATAGGAAGAGCTCATTACCTTAAGTGAAAATGAATTTTAAAAGATGTCTACAGTAATTAGTAGTTGGACAGCCAAGTCTACACACACACACACACACACACACACACACACACACACACACACACACACACGTATCTTAAACCTATATAGAAAAGGAAGTGTCTGGATAAACTGCTTTTTGCTTTTTTTTTTTTTTTTTTTTCTCATAAAGTTTCAGCTCCTTCAGTTTTATTCTATACAACATGTTTAACTCTTTTAGAGTTTTGCTCAATGTAGAAAAAAGGGGAAGATATCTCCATAATCTCAAATAGCTATTCATATTTAGAGGCATCCAAAAAAAGGATTTAGATTGTCCTGTTGCTATGTCCTTTTAGAAGGCATATCTCATGGGCAACGGGGGTGGGCTTGTTTATGGTTTCATTATTCCAAAATAAAGTAATTTAACTCACGTAGCCAAAATGTCCTAGAATAGGGTCTAGGCCATGTCCAACATAGAAGTGGCTGATGAGTTTGTTTTTCATCTGATATCTGGGGCCTGAATGGAAAGTTTTATGGTGGCGCCTGACCCTCCTTCTGCCACTTCTCATGAGCACATAACTTCTCCACTCTCTAGAAAAGAACTATTTTTTATTCTCTTTTCTTCTACCAAAATATCTGTGACTTTAGCAAATATATGCTGAAACTTACTATTTCTATGATCTTGGTCATGTCAATATTTTTCATGATTATGACAATATTCCAAATGGTTTCACCTGGGGGTTTAATATTTGTCTGCTGGAAATACTGGGACATGAAACAACAGGTTGGCATTGGCTGTCCAATTTGGGATTAGTCATCAAACGTGTCCAAAGTGACCTCAGTCCATTTGGAGTCTTTTTATTTTTACAATTACTTAATTCTGAGTTTAACGAAGGTATTTCTGTCTTTGCAAGTGTGTCTCCTGATGTCATTAGATGCTGTAGATTTCAAAGAGCACATGGGGGCCAGCTGTCTCAAGAGAGATCATTAATTGCAGTTGCTTGAGTTCAGTGCACACGTGGTTAAAGAGGAAGAAGGCGTTAACATTTCTCAAATGACTTCTGTCTCATGTTTGTACACACATGATATTTTTAAGAATTCTGCTGGCATATTGTTTACAGTGGGTCCTGGCAAACATCACATCTGCTTGCATCTTGCTCGGAATCTCAATAACGCTATCATTCAGCCCCGGTGCTTATTTCACTGCTAGGCCTTTGTGGAGAGTCGATAATGCCTGCCATCTGCCACAGAGCACATCGCTACCTGCCAACAGGCAGGCTGGGGTGACCTCTGCTTCCCCAGCACTGATTAGTATTCACGTGCTGGCTTATTAGGATTGACCCCGCCAGGCCTCTCTGTTTCCTTGCCTTTGCAGTGGTTGTCGGCTCACCTGGCAGGCATGGCAGTGAAGGAGGCTAAAGATGTAATCAGGGGATGGAGGCAGGATTTGCAAACCAGATGGAGTCCACAGACCTATGGCAGGGGACCAGACTGCTAATGCAGACACCAATTTCTGACATTACACAGGGTTGCTTCATAGAAAGCATCCTATGGAAAGTGTCATCAGGGTTTTGAGGTAAAGCTACTCCCACATAATGTATTAAAGACATTTACTAGTGGAATACCTGAAAGCAAGGTTTAACTATTTTACTAAAGAAGACATTTAATTGGAAGGAGATTCTTAGTACGACATGTTTAAAAAGGAGAAGCAGCCCTAGCTGGTTTGGCTCAGCAAATAGAGCAGTGGCCTGCAGACCAAAGGGTCCCAGGTTCAATTCCGGTCAAGGGCAGGTACCTTGGTTGCAGGCTTTTCCCTGGCCTGGATCCTGGAAGAGGAAACCAGTCAACATGTTTCTCTGTCTTTCCCTCTCTCTTCCACTCTCCCTAAAAAATCAATGGAAAAATATCCTCGGATGAGGATTAAAAACAACAAAAAAGGAGAAACAGATAAATGCAAGCCTTTCAAATTGTACAAAGCACTTTCATTTTTGTTTTGTTTTGTTTTTAATGTATCTTTAAAAGAGAAATTAGAAATAAGCTAATACATATACCTTTAGATAATACTCAATATTATAAAAAACATTTTCTTCTTTTTCCTTTACAGCTTCGTGAACTATTGAAATTCTATGTATTCTAAACATCATATAATTTTTTTTTCTGGTCAAATTCAAAATTTTCCTTGGCAAAAAGGAATCTGGTTGTTCTTGTATGTTTCGTGTTTATGTAGAAAGAAAAATGGTTATGTTTACTTACCTGTCCATTACTTAGTTGAGAGATAAAATTAGTCATATTTTATTTTCATCTAATTTTATATTATATTTTAAATAGGAGCCTTATTGTAAGAGGTATTGAGCATATCTTTCTTATTATTAAGAGTAACCCAGAACCAAATATTGCCTAAAATTATCATATAAACCTTGGCCTTCTACAAAAACCAATACATGCCTAGAAATAACTTTTCTCAGTTTGACAGAAAATGTGATTGCAGATACATTAAAGGAGGCCGATAAAAGGCAATGAAGGAATTCATTGCCGAACCAAATCTTAGCTTGCATCTTGATCTCAAGAGCTTAATCTTAGAAGAACAGCAAAGCCACCCTCACCCTAGCTCGGTGATTAAAACAATGCTTTTTTAAAAGTGGATATTTATTGGATATTTGTTATGTGCGAGGCATTGTTCTAAACGCTGTGTGTGTGATAGCTCATTTCACCTCCACAACAGCGTGGCAGGTGGTTATTATTGCCCCAGTGGGGAGGCACCAGTGAGGGCATCACCAATGACAGAGGTTCAGGTGTTTCGCACTGAGCTGCTGTGTTTCGCAAATGAGGAAATAGGCACAGAGAGGTCAAGTAAATTGTTCAAGGTTACACACAGATTATAAAGTCGGGTATTCCAGGTCCAGAGCCTGTTTCTTAATCATCACACCACCTTAGTCCATATACTTAGCCATGCACTTTCACTCTTGGGTAATTAGCATACGTAAATTCTCTCAATTTCTATATTTTCCTATCCTTCCCTTACAAATGAGAAAGGCCCTATGAAATGCAACCTAAACCAGAGGAAACGCCTTCTGTGATTGGAAAAATAGAGCTGGACTGTGTGGGTGTCTCTGCCCTTGTTCTCAGGGAAGAAACCTGTTTCTTTCAAAGTTTATGAAGGACATTTAAACAGGTGATTGACAAGCATTAGTTCCCCACTGCTAACGAGGCACAGCTGTTCTCTGCCAGAAAATTCTGCTATAATATTAACAGAATTCACCTGAATTTCTTTTTCCAGAATAAGTGGATAAGCCGCAGCCCCATGCTGCAGAGAAGGGTGTACCACTCCATGGCGGCCGTCCACAGAAAGCTCTACGTCCTCGGAGGCAATGACCTGGACTACAACAACGACCGGATCCTGGTGCGGCACATAGACTCCTACAACATAGACACCGACCAGTGGACACGCTGTAACTTCAACCTGTTGACCGGCAAGTACCTTTGTTAAGTAAATCAGGAAAAGCTAAGATTCAGGAAGCTTCCTCTCTAAATATACTGAGTACACGGCACTAGAACAACTTGCTTTTATTAACTGGAAAGGTGCACATTCTTTATCTCATAAAACTTTACCCCGTCAGGTGGCTGAGCATCTAGTTTGACCTTTGGGTGTGCCCCCATGTGGCTAAGAGCCATGTCAAGTCCATTACTGTCAATATATTCACATAGGAACTGGACTACAAATAGGAGGAACCAGGTGCAGAAAGAGTTAATGACTCTTTACAGAAGCAAATCATTTTTTATTTCTCATTAATTTTAGTCGCCATTTCCTTCCTACTTTCCTTCCTTCTTTCTTTCCTTCCTTTCTTCCTTCCTTCCTCCCTCCCTCCTTCCTTCCTTTTTTTTTTTCACTGCTGCTAGAATGCATTTTGTATTTCATATAGCAAAATATGAAATACGTTTTGTCAAAAGAAAACAGTCATTCATGGTCAGGGTACATCCTTCCCAATGGCATCAGTTCCTATTCCACAGCCAGACACTGAGGACGGTTGGGAGTAGCTTAGCGAGAGGCGGGGTGGCCAGAGTTGGAGTGACCGTCTGCAGCAGTGCGCTCTGCAGTGAGGAGAGAAGTCAGTCAGGAAAGCTTGCAGGGCACAGTTGCAAGTTGGGAGTCTCTCCATGAGTCCTCATGTCTTCCTCGTTCAGGAGAATGGTTTTCATTATTTGTCACTGTTGAATGTTGTTTCTGGCTGTTTCCTCCTAAAGATTAAACCTTTGAGCAGTTCTGAGCATAGGGGTTTGGCAGTTTCTGGGCATACACAACCATCCCAGCCTTACCACAGGGCAGGACGAGGTATGGGCCATCCTTGTCCCGAAAGGGAATGAAAGGGAAGCGGTGAAAAAGCTTACCCCTGAGACATTTCTTTCTGGAGTTGTACACTATTTCTCCCTTGTCAGCAGCGTCATTAACAATCACAGGTGACCAGATCCCTTCCAGGGTGCTCTGCTAATAGGAAAATCGCAGACTCAGAATGGTGGGCAGGACTAGTGCGTGGAGACGGTTTAATATGCCCAGCGGGCCCTCAGCCACCTGCTGCTGCTGGGGAAACACCTTGAGGGCGTACACAGCCAGTGGAGGGGCTCAAGTGTTTTGCACTGAGCTGTTGTTTTTGTTCTGTTTTTTTGAAAAACTGATTTTTAAGGCCCACTTACTAGTACTTAACTCTGGTCTAAGTTGCTGTAGAGGTGTGTGAGCCCTGGATCCCTGGATCTGTGTGCTCTAGGATCCAGCTTATTTATTACCCAAGTCAATCCTGTGTCAGCCCATCAATAAAAGAGACTGTCTCACTCTTTGATGGCCCCAAGGGAGGAATATGCGGTAGTGAGTTATTCTGTCTCCTTTTTTAAACGGGGAAGGGACCTTTCATCATGTTGGCATGTCAGTATCTAGGGACCATCCTGGCTGGTCTCAGCTCACAAACTTTAACACAGTCTTAAAGCTGTTGTGTATGTAAAGAGAGGAAGGGGAGTGACTGCCTTTTTTGTCATTTGTCTTCATTGTGGGGCACGCTAAGGGCACGGCTCTGCTTTATTGGTTTCTTGGGGTTGCAGCTGTTACTTTACAAATGTAAGCACTTGCCTTAAAAGCATTTGTAGTGCAAGAGGTTTCTTGCATTTCTAAAATATACCTTTTTTTTTCTGCTACTGTAAATGTATGACATGTAACAATATGATACTGGTAGTTCTCGATGGCTTATTTTTACTGTAGTTTATGCTGTTTTCACTAACTTGGCTAACCAGTGGTATGGCCTGGTTCTGATCCGACCCAGATTCATTTGCTGAGAAATGGTGCTTCATTTCTCCCTCTGAGTCGTGGGAGGCAGCGATTAGTTGCTGCAGAAATCCTGTGGAGTATGCAAGTCCACCACAGGGCATATTGTATCTCTCAGGGGCAAAAGGGTTAATTAAAACATGCAAGGAGAGGGATTTATTTTTCCCCCCTTTTTTTCTCTTTACTTTAGGCCAAAATGAATCTGGAGTTGCTGTCCATAATGAGAGGATCTATTTAGTTGGTGGATATTCGATTTGGACAAATGAGCCTCTGGCTTGTATCCAGGTGAGTGGTGGAAGTTCCTTTTGAAGTTTGTTCCAGCGGTTCAGGGAGGTTATTTTGCAGAGCTGCTACTGAAGGCAGAGATATTTACACGTAGAAAGGGGCTTGAGCTCCCACTGTGCAGCTAGTTCAGCCACTAAACCTCATGCAGCATCCCAAAAATGGAATGTAAGAAGGAGCCCTACTGAAAATGGAGATGAAAACTTTGAAAAATCTAGACATTTGTGAAATAGAACTTTCACACCCTAAAACTTCACAAATTTCTTTCTATTCCATTTCCTTATTTTCTATATGGTAATTTCCGTAAATGCCATCTACAGAGGTGTTCTATCTTCCCGAAGAGTGAGAAGCAGGGGATTGTGACTGGTCTGATGGGGCCACCTTTACCCCAAATAATAGTCTTGGCAGATCAGCATGTGAGCAGCCCGACTGGGCAAGTTGCCAGCGAGGCTATTGAGAACAGCAGTAGCTTTTGTTGACATACATATTCAAGAATTATTATTATTTATTTTTTACAATTTGTGTCTTAGTTGTTCTTCTATTTTACATATTCTCTGATATCATATCAACACGTATTAGTCCTAACCTTTTTCCTGATCTCCATAAAAAATACATCCTTATAACTACTCATATTATCTAATATATTTGTGGAATGATTTAAAAAATATCTTCATTGATTTTTAAAGAGAGAAGAGGGGAGAGAGAGAGACATACCTATGTGAGAGGGGAAACATCAATTGGCTGCCTTCTGCACCCTCCCCACTGGGGACTGAGCCAAAACCCCGGCATATGCTCTAACTGGGAATCGAACTGGCATCTGACTGTGACTGAAAAAGAAATTTATAAATATTTAAAAAAAAAATTTTTTAAGTAACTTTCTCATTTGTCTTAAATTTTCAAAATGTTTTCTTCTCTTGATTTGTCTTGCCAGATGTTTTTCTGGGGACTTTAATATACTTATAGTGTTGATATAGATAAAAATTAGCAAGGGTAGCATAGATATTAATACAGTAATTCCTCTCTTATCCAAATTTTCTTTTTGCTGTCTGTTACTCATGTCAACAATATTACATGGGAAATATTACACGTTGAAAATATTACACGGGAAACTCCAGAAATAAGCAATTTGTAAATTTAAAAGTGCACACTGTTCTGCATAGTGTGATAAAATCTCTGACCCGTTCCATCTGCCCAGGACTAAAATCATCCCTTTGTCCAGCATACCCACACCGTACCATAGATGGCTCTCCTTTCTTTAGTCACTCAGTGGCCAGTTTGGTTATCTGAGCCACTGTCATAGTATCTCAGTGCTTGTGTTCAAATAATCCTTATTTTACGTCATAATGGCCTGAAAGTGCAAGAGAAGTGGTGCTGATATTTTAAATATTCCAAAGAGAAGATGTGAAGTGTATATATTTATAGGAAGAAACAATATATATATATAGGGTCTGGTACTAACCACAGTTTCAGGCATCAATGGAGATCTTGGAATGTATCCACATGGATAAGGAGTACCACTGTAACATAATTAACAAGCTTTTCCGAGTGGATCATCAAACAATTATTAAGGATAGTTTTTTTTTCTGTTTGAGATATAATTGATATTTAATATTTTATTAATTTAAGTGTACAGCAGAAAGGGGAAATACTTGCAAATTATATTTTTTGAGGAACTGTCATGTTTTCTGGAGTGGCTGCGTCAATTAATATTATCTACCAAGAGTGCACAGATTCCCATATCTCCACATTTTTATGAATACTTACCTCTTGTCTTCTTTATGACAGCAATTGTTTTTAACTTTATTGTTGAAAGTATTACAAATGTCTTTTTTGACCCTCTCCACCCAGCTCCTGCCCCTTCCCCAGCCATGCCTTCCCCACAATAAGGTTTGAGATGACATCTTATTGTGTGTCGTTTTGATTTGCATTTCCCTGATGTTAGTGATGTTGAGCACCTTTTCATGAACCTGTTGGCCGTTTGTTATGTCTTCTTTGGAAAAAATATTTATTTGATCCTGTGCCCATTTTTTTAATCAGCTTGTCTTTTTTTTTTCTTGATGGGTTTTATGAGATCTTTATTTTTTTGGGATATTACCTGCCTATCAAACATATGATTTGCAAATATTTTTTTCTTACTCTGTAAATTGCCTTTTCATGATCTTTAATTCCTTGAGGGAGATCTGCTACCTTTTTAAGGTTTCTGAAATGGGAGACCTTGCATGTGAATTTAGGAAGTTGGCAGAGAATGGAGAGGATAAGGCTTCATGAAGGATAAACCTTGGAAGATGGATAGGGTACATTGATTGTTTGGAGTTTCTTTTTGTTGTTGTTTTGTTTTTTAATTCTTTATTGATTTCAGAGAGGAAGGGAGGAGAGAGAGAAACATCAGTGATGTGAGAGAACCATTGGTTGGCCACCTCTTGCATGTCCCCTACTGGGGATCAAGCTCACAATCCAGGCATGTGCCCTTGGCTGGAATCGAACCTAGGACCCTTCAGTCTACAGGCTGACACTCTATCCACTGAGCCAAGCCGGCCAGGGCTGTTTGGAGTTTTTACAGTCGAATTGTATGAATCCTTTATATGTTTTGATTATTAACCCTTCTCAGATATACGATTTGCAAATATTTTTTCCCATTTGATAAGTTGCATTTTCATTTTTTTTTTAATGCTTTCCTTTGCTGTGTATAAGCTTTTTAGGTTGATATAGTCCCACTTGTTTATTTCTGCTTTTGCTGACTTTGTTTTTGGTGTCAAATACAAAAAGAATCATTGCCAAGACCAACGTCAATAAATTTAACTGTATCTTCTTCTATTTTTATGGTATCAGGCAGAAGCGGTTGGGGCAATCAGGAAGACAGGCAGGTGAGCAGTTGGGAGCCAGCAGTCCTGGATTGTTTAAGGGATCCCAGATTGGAGAGAGTGCAGGCTGGGTGGTGGGATACCCCCCCCCCCATGTATGAATTTCGTGCACCAGGCCTCTAGTCTATATATATAAAAACCTAGTGACCATCACAACTGAAACAACTGAACGGACAACCAACAGTCTGCGTGGGATAACCAGGCCAGCAGGGGGGTTAGTGAGGGACGACCAAACAACTGAACAGCAGGCTGTGTGGTACGACGACCAGGCTGGTGAAGGGTGCGGGGGGGGGGGGGGGGTCAGTTCAGGGCAAGCAGGCCGCCAGAGGGGGTCAGTGAGGAGCAACCAAGCTGGTGGGGGGCAGGGGCAGTTGGTGGCAACCAGGCTGATAGGGGGGGCAATAAAGGGTGACCAGGCCAACTGGGGGGCAGTTAGGAGTGATCAGGCCAGTGGGGAGGCGTTGGGGGTGACCAGGCTAGCAGGGGGGCAGTTGTGAGTGACCAGGCCAGCAGAGGGGGCATTTTGGGGAGATCAGGCAGACAGGCAGGTGAGCAGTTAGGAGCCAGTGGTCACAGACTGTGAGAGGGATGTCTGAGGGGTCCTGGATTGGAGAGGGTGCAGACTGGGTTGAGGAGACTCCCCCTCCCCCATGCATGAATTTTGTGCACCGGGCCTCTAGTATGCATATAGTTCTTTGGTTAATCTCTCTCCTATCCCCTCACCTCTGAGAATTTTTATCATGAATGGATGTTGAATTTGCCAAATACTTGTGCTACATCAATTGAGATAAACATATGATTTTTATCTGCCATTTTGTTAATATGGTATATTACATTGGTTGGTTTTACAAATGTCAAATTTGTAATAAATTGCTAAATAACTTAAAGGAGTCATAGTGGAAGTTTTTTAAAAAAATACCCAAAACTGAGGGATAGTAAAAAATAATAGCAAAGCTTGTGGGACAGATTAGAAAATAAATATAATACATTAGAAAATAAACCAAAGAATAAACTAAAGGTAGGAGATAATATAAATGAGAGGAAAGCAATAGACTATTAAACAGCAATACATTAGAAAAATATCAAAGCTACAAGTTAGTCCTATAAGATATTAAAGTCTTTAAAGAAGTCTTTAGTTAATTGAAGGCTGCTTTGTACTGATGCTTGCTTATATCTTTTGGATAAAAATAAGCAAACTGCTTTCCCACAAGGAGTGCTTTTATTTTTTTTTAATTATTTTTTTTAATATATTTTATTGAATTTTGTACAGAGAGGAAGGGAGAGAGATAGAGAGCTAGAAACATCGATGAGTGAGTCATCGATCAGCTGCCTCTTGCACACCCCCCACTGGGGATATGCCCGCAACCAAGGTACATGCCCTTGACTGGAATCGAACCCGGGTTCCTTCAGTCCCCAAGCCGATGCTCTATCCATTGAGCCAAACCGGTCTCAGCAGGAGTGCTTTTAGTATATCATCCAAACATGTATTTGCCAGTCTTTACTGAGTTTTGGATTCCTTTTTATTTTTTACTTCTCAGAATTTAAAACTTTGAACTCGGCAATAGGCAGTGCTCTGTTAATGACTTTTGGCTCTTCCTAAACAAATCTGTTGTCCTCAAAAGATGAAGTACTTTGGTATATTTTAAACCACTGAAGTTATTCTAGAGTAGCCTCAGAATTTAGGTGATTTTACTAGTGTAAGAGGTGATTCATAAATACTTTGATCAATAGCTGTATTAGAATACATTTTACCACTTGAGATCACATATTCTAATATGCTTGCTTTTTAAAAAGTCAGCATTCTGGTTAGTTCTATGTTACATTAGCCATTTTGACATACAAAATGATTCATTTTGCAAATGCTATGTTTTTTCTCTCGGCTGGCACACTGATCCTACAAAGCACAGGTAAATTTGATAAAAGCCTTTGCGAGTCTTTACTGTTTATATATAAGTGTTCATATAAGTATTCAGATTGCCACTTAGATATATTTGGAATGGAAGTCTTCATGGACTTATCGTATATTATTTTTGTTATTGGCAACTGGTTAAAGATGATATAATCACTCATTCTAAACTATGATTGCATAATCTCAAATACTTATTTTATGGGTGACGATGGAAGTGCTTATTTTGGATCACTAATAGTAATGTATTGATGGTTGCAGAGACTAGCTACATATTCAGAAGCAAACTTCTTTACTACTTGCTGGAAGAATATGCAACAGACAAGCAAGATAATGGAAGACAGGAATAGTGTTTATGAGAACATGTTGGCTAGACATTAGAAATTCCTAACTATAAATCAGCAGGTTGAAAAGTACAGGAAAATTGTGGAAAAATAGTCCACATCTAAAAAACATCAACACTTAAATTTTTCATACATATTCCTTTTCTAAGGGCATGTATGGTTGACTAAGATTAGTGAAGTTCACACTTAAACAGTTCACATTGGTCTGTTAACATCCACAACTGAAGTCTTTTTTTTTTTTCTATTGAAAATATCAGTCAATAAATTGCCCATTAGATTTAAAACTTTTTAAAAACTGTCACATTAGATTGCCCATTCTGTACTCTAATTAAAGCTTAACTGCCATCTGAGGCTTCAGCCACACAGGGATGAAGCATGTTAGATGTTGAGAAAGGCTATTATTTTATTTCCTTCTACTACTTGACTTAGCATAGGAAGGCAACTCAAACAAGAGAAAAGCTTGCTCTCCAATGCATACTTGTTTAAAGATTGAGATTTGGACTTGCTAGTAATGAAGACTCATGGCAAATATTAAGAAGACTCCTTTGGAAAATGAGGTGCTCTTGTTTATGCAGTGGGAGTACAAGCAAACGTCTGGCACAAAGGTTTATTCCGATCTGGCACACCATGGATGATGAGCAGCACAAAAGGGAGCAGCTGCATAAGTGTACACAAGATTAGTCTGTGCTTCCAGATTACCTCCACTCTCTTCACTTATTATTATTATTTTGGGGGGGGGCGGGGCTAGAGGGTATTTTGTCAAGCTGGTACCTCCTCCTCTCCAATGCCTTCTTTCTGGCAGTTTACAGGAGAGTACTTTGGAGAAAAACTGCCAACACTTCTTTCCCTTCTCACAGATTAAAATAAATAATAATAATAATAATAATAATATATATATATATATATATATATATATATATATGCTTAAAATATAGTTTCTGTTGTTCCATGGAACCAGAAAAAATGCTCTCTGAATGACCTCAACTGTTATATTGCCTTCTAAAAATTTATTCAGATGAAGGGGTGTCATGAATGGCACAAAATTCTTGCTCTTGGGATGCAACTTTGAGTTCCATTATTGGCGCTACCACTTTCTAGCTGTGTGTCTTTTAGAAATCATTGAACTTTCTCTAGAACTCAATTTTCTTCTCTGTTAATTGAAGACAATAATTAACTTTATATAGTTGAGGTAAATATAGAAAGATCCCTACTTTCTGTATTCAATGACTACTAATCAGAATCCCATTTGAGATTTTCCTTTTTTCATAGAGTGGGGAACAATTATCAAATTCTCTAGGAAAGTAAACAAACATGTAAGTATAACCAAGAAAAAATTTTGAGTGAATGGGGGAAACTTGCCTTACTCAGTCAAAATAACTGTAAACATAGTATTGCATGAAGACATATAAGTCAACAAAAGATAAAAAACTTAAGTTTGCATGTAGCCTAAATAGAGATATTTTAAATTAGCAGTCTCTGGATAAATTGTTTAGTAAATGGGGTGAGATACCTAGTTTCCACTTAGGGGGAAAGTAGCAACAAGTGTAATCTTTCTTTTACTTTATGCCTTAGTGATTTTCTCCTTTATGAGCTTGGAGCACCAAATCTCAAGAGCCCCTTTCATCTGCAATAATGCAGTATTACAGTTAAATACTTCAGAATTATTTACTGAGGCGATAGTTGGAGGGATGTGAGTGGACAAGATTATTAAAGAAGAGTAACAACAGGTCTGTAATTGGAATATTGAATCACTCCTACATTTAGCAAGCAGGTGGAGGAAAAGGGACCAGAGGTGGAAAGCTATTAACAGGGCAATGTCAGTGATAAGTATGGAATCCAAGGGAGAAAAGATCTTACTTAACTTTTATTGTAAAAAATTATTTAAGTATAATTGGCACGCAATATTATTTTAGTTCCAAGCATACAGCACAATGGTTTCACAGGGGATTTCTTTCTTTCAAACATTTTATTTCTGGTTATCTTTTCTTTTCCACTTAAAGGAGATCCTTTAACATTTCTTGTAAGGCAGATTTGGTGGTTTTATGAATTCATTTACTTTTTTTCCTGTCTGGGACACTCTTTACCCTTCCTTCAATTCTGAATGATCTTTCCAGGAGAGTATTCTAGGTTGTGGATTTCCTTCCTTTCAGCACATTAAAAATGTCCTGCCACTCCCTTCTGGGCTGTAGAGTTTTTGCTGATAAATCAGCTGATAACCTTTTGGGGTTTTCTTTTTTTGACTAATTGTTTCCCTCCTTCAAGTCTCTATCTTGAAGTTTTGCCATTTTTATTACAATATGTATTGATTAATCTTGTTTGAAACTCTGTGATTCCTGGATCTGGATGTCTTTCCTTACCCAGATTAGAAAAATTTTCAGGTATTATTTTTTAAAATACATTTTCTGTCCCTTCTGGGATTTCCATTATGTGAATGTTTATGTGTTTGAATAGATGTCCCAGAAATCCCTTGAATGATTCTTTAATTTTTTGCTATTCTAACTGGGTGTCTTCCACATCATTAATCTGTTCTTCTGTATTATCTAATATGCTGTGGGTTCCTCTTAGTGTATTTTTTCATTTCAGTTATTATATTCTTTAGTTCTGATAGACTCTTTTGTTATACTTGGTAACTCTTTGTTGAAATTCTGGAGTTCCTCACTTCTATTCTCATGTTCGGTGAACATCGTTAAGACTTTTTCTTTGAATTATTTATCAAATTTCTCATCTCCACTTCATTAGGGTGTTTTGTTTTTACTTTGGGAGGGTTTCATTTGGGACATATTCTTTGTTTTCTCATTGTGCTTGTATATCTGTATTTATATGAACTAGAGGCCTGGTTTACAGTTTGTGCAGGGTGTGTGTGTGTGTGTGTGTGTGTGTGTGTGTGTGTGTGTGTGTGTGTGTGTTGGGGGGTGTTGTCACTCAGCCCAGCATGCACCTTCTCCAATCTGGGACATCCCTCTCACAATCTGGGACTGCTGGATCCTCACCACTAGCCTGCCAGCCTAATAGCCCCCTAACCGCTCCCCTGCCAGCCTGATTGATGCCTAACTGCCCTCCTCTGCTGGCCTGAATGCCTCCAATTGCCCTCTCCTGCGGGCCCAATAGCCCCCAACTGCCTTCCCCTAAAGGGCTGAGGGGATTGAACTGCCTTCCCCTAAAGGGCTGAGGGGATTGGAGGACTCTGGCTGGATGAGGCAGAGCTGAGGGAAGTGGGCACTGCCATCTTATGGCTGTGGGTGCTGCCGTCTTTGTGAGGGCATGACAGTCAATTAGCATATTCCTTCTCTCCAAATCTCAAAAAAATGGCCTTATACAGAAGTCATTGACTGACTGTGCCAGGTAGTTTGGGAAGGCACATTGGAGCGTGGGATAGGTGCCTGGGATATTGGCTGGTGTAGGTTCTGAGACAGCCCCGTGTGCATGAGCAACAGTGGGCTCTGGGAGTGGTGACCAGTACACGTGTGTTGGCAACCTGTTAATCCCGCTGTTTGAGGGTGAGCTGCATCACCTGTGCTGCTGCCATCTTGGACCTCTTCCAAGAATGGTTTTAAATGGTTTTAGAGTTTTCAAATAGAGATAGATTTAGGTGTTTGAGGCTGGAAAGAGATTAATGGGTTTAACAAATGAGATATAACCAACTTCCCTAAGGAATATTCCTAGTAGTAAGATTGTCAGATTTGGTGAAATGTCAGCAGGCACAGACTAACAAAGAGACTCTCTTCCATATAAGAAGAGATAGAACTCTAGATTGAAAAGGAAATGACTGGAGAAAATTTCCAGAATCAATGGAACTGATTATGAATTTGCTACTAAGTTGTCCTATATATTGTGTGTTAGAGCTGGATGTCACCAATTTTGAGAACAATGCTGGAAGGTCAATGTTGTTTTCTCCATTTTACAACTGAGCATTTGTAACCTACGTAATATGACAACACCTACTAACTAGTTTGAACCTGTTATTTAAGCAGTCTAAGGATAATGCTACCTACCTCACCATTCCTCTGAAGATTAAATTATTATATGTATGTACACACACAAGTATATAAACACTTAGCATGAACTTAATACATATTTGGTATCCTATATAAAAGGCTAATATGCAGTGTCCCCTCTGGAGTTCGACCAACCGGGAGTTCAACCACTATGACATACGCTGATCACCAGGGGGTGGCATTGAATGAAGACAAGACCCCAGCCAGCAGCCAGGGAAGACTCCAATTGGCCCTGATCACTGGCCAAGCCTAGGGACCCTACCCATGCACGGATTTCATGCACTGGGCCTCTAGTTTTAAGGAAAATGGCAATGGCTAAGGTATGGTCATGATGGTGTAACTGAACCTAACTGCAGGCTTCCTTTTGTGTACACAGCTTTATTTTGAGCAGTCATGTCTGACACGCAGGCTTCTTCTCTTCCTTTATAGGTTTTGGATGTAAGTAGAGAAGGTAAGGAAGAAGTATTCTATGGGCCTACACTCCCTTTTGCTTCCAATGGAATAGCAGCATGTTTCCTTCCAGCTCCATATTTCACATGCCCTAATCTTCAAACTCTTCAAGTGCCTCATCACAGGATTGGCACCATCTGAAAAGCCAATGCTCTGTTAATTACCATCACAACAGGAGGAAAAAAAGCCTGACTTTTGGATACTGGGCATGAAAAGACTGAGTGCTCAATGCTTCCCTGTCTTGTTTTATAGGTCTTATATTCAGATAAACATTAGAAAAAAGAAAAAAAAAAGAACAATTTTCTAAAATACATAACTGAAAATTCCTGTCACCCTTTCCAGTGTGTGTAATATACAATACAATAGCATATGTATGAATGACTTTTATTGTGGTATAGCTTAGTGCCAACTCAATGGTCCATTTCTGTTTTATGGTTCTTTAGAGCATTTTTTCTACACTTTTTCTAACCAGAGCTGTCTAGGACAACATGACAGCACTAGTAAGTCAATTTATTTACAAGTACTGTCGTTATTGATCTCTAAAATACTTGAGTACTCACTCCCTTTGCTACTTAAACCTGGGTTTATAATTTTTCTTTAAAAATTTAACATTATACAACCCTATTCAGTGGAGACCCAACATTATGACATCATGAATTTTAAAATGCCATAATGCATTTAAGTTAATATGAATAATAGAAGTACAATGGATCAGCAATCGGAATATCCAGAGTTTTCTTTCGCCTTTATTACTCTGTGAGCTTGGGCTTACCTTTACAGAGCTTCAGTTTTCCCACTGTTTAAGGAGGATAATTAGTGATTTCCATATCAATTTAGAAGAATGGTGTGAGGATTAGGCAAATGCACTGAAGTACTTCACCCAAGGGAAAAAAATGTTACTCAAATTCCAAGGTATTTTACTGTCTTAGGAATGATGTACCAGAACAGAGAGATTATTATTGAATTTTAAAAATTACTATGTAGAATTTCAAACACATGCTATAGAATAAATGATTCTAAAAGCAGGTGAAAGAGATAATGCTAATTAGAAAAAAGGGACTTTACCAAACCCAAAGAATCTTAAACTTGCACAAATTCTTGCCTCAAATAATAACTCCCTCAAACATCTCATTTAAGTTCATTTATTGAAAAATGACATTTTATACTCCAAAAAAATTAGATGTACTAATTTTGGTATCATAAAGTGCTTTGACATAAATCTGAACCTAGAATCAGTAATTCTAACAAAAGTTTTTTCACTTTGTTAAAGGTTATGTCAATCTTGAGTGCTTGTGGGATTCTTTCCTACGACCAATGAACATTTTATTACTACCACTTTTAATAATGCATAAGGATATTTTTAGGCTAGGTTTTTTGGGTCTGCTTTGTCCATAACCAAAAATAAAACAACTCAATAATCAATTTGAACAAAGTCAATAACAAAAAAAGTGTCTTCTCCTTCTCCTAATCTAAGTCACCTCTATTAAAAGACTTCACTGACATTTTCCCTAGACATAGTTTAATCATCCAACAATCCTGAATTTATAGGAAATTCTAATTATAATCATGTAAACACTTTAAAGATTTTTATTGTAAATACAAAATTCACTAGTCTTATACATTATAAGATACCTAAAATATATGTTTTCTGGCTATCCAGATTTAAGGATGGGAGGGGAGAGAGATTAGGAGCAAGAAAACAAAGTAAATTTTAAAGAACAGAGATTTAGTTTAGAGAAACAAAAAAACCTTGAGAGTATTTGTACAGTTCTAAAAGTGACATTGATAAATTTATATTTAGAAGGATGACAAATAATCTCTTTAAAAGGTGTAAACAATTCAAACTAAATTTTAAAAATGCCTTACCAGGTTAGAAAAAATGGACAGCATTTCAGAAGTGTTTTCAACAAGGACCTATGCAAGAAATATTCCAGATTCAACAATTCTTCTACTTGACATACAGATTTTTCCCTGTAGCACTTTTACCTTGTAAGACATTAGTCTATTTGTAACCCCATACCCTATATCCAACAAGTGAAGGGAAATGGTCTAAAAATAAGTTTGCTTAATGGTAACTGAAGACAGCCTGAGAGTACTCTTGATTTTCTTCTGTGTGGATTTCTATTCATTTTAAACAAATCAGTATATATTACCAAACTCTTCCATGGTGAACATAGTATTAAAAGAATTTAACTCATAATTTTTAAAAGCTTTACATGATTTTCAAAAACTTTATAAACCCTTTATAAGTATAGCCCAAGAACAGAAGACAAACTACCCTGTTTCCCTGAAAATAAGACAGTGTCTTATATTAATTTTTTCTCCCAAAGTTGCGCTAGGTCTTATTTTCAGGGGATGTTTTATCTTTCCATGTGCTAGGTCTTATTTTCAGAGGATGTCTTATTTTTGGGGAAACACGGTACTATATCTCTCCCCTAAAAAAGAAAAAGAACTTAGAGATCACTTATAATTAGATCCTTTCCCTCAAATCACCAATAGTAAGAGCTAAAAAGGAAAAAAGACTATGTTTGGTCAGATAAACCAAATTCCATTGAAACTATTCAAACGTATTTTTCCATTTAAGTGTACTATCTTATAGCAATTCATCTTCTAGTTTCACTCTTCAAAATTAAAGACCATATTGTTTTTATATTCAAATTATCAATTTGAATTTCCATAGATCATGAAACCTCCAACTATTTAAGCATCATTTTAGTATTTTACTTTTAAAAAGCAGTACTACATAGATATTGGCAGTGTTCTTAGTGTGGGAAGAAAAGCCAGCAAAGATATGAATCTCTAAAATGTAAAATGCAATAAAATTCCTTGGGTCCTTAATAACATAATGCTAGTTAAGATATGAATAGGGTACTTTTTACACTTTTTCTCTTCATGCTTTCTTCGTTAAACTAGATGGATATTATATTCCCTTCAGACACTGCAATAGCCAGAAAACTAGTGTTTTACTAAAGAGTATGAAAGCAATCGTATAGAGTAAAAATTATTTTGGTTTTCAAGTAGTCAATCTGTCATAAAAAGGGAAGTTGAATAATCATGAGTACAGGCTAAGTTAAATAAATACATTTTATTACATATCCTTAATATATGTACAAAATAACTTATAAACATGTTTATAATACAAGTATGACCAGAATTCTTCTATAAGTACAATTTGCAAATGTAATAATCAAATAACTATTATCATACCAAAATTTTAATAAGCAGAAAATGGTCAATCCCAATCATATGGTACTGATTTTGGTAACCTTATATATCAAAGAATCAAAATACAAGTCTCATATATGTAAAAGAATGTGCTACTTAGCTTCCCAAATCAACCACCTAACAAAGCATGTTATTTACATGGGTATACTCTACACTTGACTGACAAGGCAATATTTTTAACCCTAGGAGGAGTGGACATCTGTTTTTGGAAAATGTAAGTTATGTAAAAAGAATATTTGTATTATTCAAAGAGCAGTGGTTTAGCACTGAATATTTGTATTATTCAAAGAGCAGTGGTTTAGCACTGATAATACAGATTTTAGTGAAGTTCCCATGATATCTATCTTTTATCTTCAAAAGATAAGTGCTGTGTAAGATTTAGTATTTAAAGAAGGTAGGTTTCAATACAGGCGTCTCCCCACTGCAGAGGCTTATCAATTTTTTGTAACATATAATCTTAACAAAGGGAACACAAAATTAAAAACTGTCAAAGTCCAAAGACAGATCCATGTAATTCTTTAACAACAAAGTAGCTTTAAAATTTTGTGATAAAGCCTGAGAAAAATTAACAATGACAACATATACATAGTCTAATAATTCACAACTATTTTTTTTTTTTACATAGATGCCCAGGTAGAAATAGTTACATTTGAGAAGAAAAGAAAATACACTAGGAATAGGTAAAGATATAAAAGTCAATAACCTATAACTAATTAATTTTTTTCATAGATGCCCGGGTAGAAATAGTTATACTTAAGAAGAAAAGAAAATATGCTAGGAATAGGTAGAGATAAAAAAGTCTTAAACTATGAAATTCTTCTAATGCAAATGAACTCAGTATCAAATGTTTTTTGTATAGAGTCAATACTCCATTTTTTTTCTCCCCCATGGAAACATTAAATGTTCAATTAAAAGCATTCAATCATTACCAAATCTGAATGTCTAATAAAGTCACTTCATCACACTGTTGTGCCTCAATCTTCTTCTTTACACTCCATCTAATAGTTCACAAAAATTAGTTGACTGGCATACTCTCAGTGTATAGAATGAACATGCATTCAGACAATCTAGACATCTATTCTTCTGCGGGAGGTAAGTTTGAACAGAAAAGGTAAAGTCAGATGGCAGAAAGTCTGATTGAAGGATTTGTCTAACAATGGGAAGTAATTCGAAGGCCCTGAACAGAAAAGTAACAAGAGGAAAGTAGTATTTTAGGAACACTAATGTCAGAACTAGGAGAAGGATTAACTGCAGAAAAAGAGACCAGAGGTAAGAGATTATAGTGCTCAAAAGAAAAAAATAGCCAAGAAGCATGGAGTGGAAAAAAATAGCAAGAGCCTCTGCTGCTGATCAACAAAGTGGGAACAATGAAGAATCCAAGCTGCCCCTGAAGTTTCACAGCTAAGGAAATAACAGTGTATTGCCTGGGTAGAAAATAAAGACAGGTAGACTGGAATATAAGGTGACAAGGGCAGCCTGACATGTTGCCTAGAAATTTCAGGAATGATTTAGAGAGAAATTAGCCCAAGAAATAGATATGAGAAAGAGAATTATGAGCTAATGTTACCAACAGACTACAAGAAGGATGTTGAGGCAGAATAGGTGAAGAAGAGATCTTACCACTGGGACATGAAAAAATAATGTGAAGGTGCTCTCCAAGTTCAGTACATGTAGGAAGGAGCAGTTTCCCTGAGAAGGGATGAGAAAATAAATGAAAATGAAAATGCCACAGAGGCCAAAGAACATGAAAAATGAGGACGTACTTTCTGATTTCACCAAAAGAGAGCGACTTACAAAACAAAAGGTAGAGCAGTAGCCTCAGAGATACGGTCTCTCGGGAAAAATGGATATTAAGGAAGCAGTTATAAGGTACTCTTAAGTCTGGGAATGAAAAAAGATAAGGTTATAATAATGAGTGAAGGGCCAGTGAAGATTTTAAAAGAAAAGGAACTGAGTCATAAATTTTTTCTTCAGCTAAAAACAGCTTCTTTAAAATGTTCCTTATAAATAAAAAACATATATATTTATACTCACCTGTATTGCTAACAGACTTTTTGTTACAACTGATTTCTTAAGTATAAACTTTAGTTATTAAAAAAAAATATATATTTTATTTATTTATTTTTTTTACAGAGAGGAAGAGAGAGGGATAGAGAGTTAGAAACATCGATGAGAGGGAAACAGAGAAATAACTATCAGCTACCTCTTGCACACCCCCTACTGGGGATGTGCCGCAACCAAGGTGCATGCCTTAGACCGGGATTGAACCTGAAACCTTTCAGTCCGCAGGCTGACACTATCCACTGAGCCAAACCGGTTTCGGCTAGTTATTCTCAGTATCCACAGTTATTCCCCCTAATGCATGACTCAGCAGCAGCTTTTTTTATCCTTTAAGTTTCATACTCCAAGGAGCAAGATTCCTGGATATCATTATCAGTCTCCCTCGAAAATAAAAATATATAACCTATACATAAAACTCTTTTAAAAGCATCATTTTAAGTAGATAAAACAATTTAACAAGTCATTATCATAATGATCATAATGAAAATAAATTCATTTATACGAAGTCTTTTAGTGACCACAAAGAGACTCATTCATTTCACTAAAGGACAGAAGCTGATTTGGGGGGAAAAACAAACCATTTGTATATTATGAAAACAACACATACTTCTTTAGACTTCAGATTATAATTAGGAGAGTGCTAAACTCTGTATTTTGCTGATTGCAATACATTGCAATTTTAAAATACTTTTGAACCAGAAAAGGGTTGAAATGTTTTCTTCAAGGAATAGAACCGTAATAAAGACCAGAATCCCAGAAGAAAGAAATTAAGAAAACATCACAAAAAAAGTAGGATCATTCATCCAGTACATTAAAGAAAGAGGAACAAAGTTGAGGGTTTTTTTTTTTAACCTTTGTGTATAAATAATACAGTAATCATATCTGTGCATGTACAAACAGAATACAAGTCACCAAATATTTTACATTTTTCTACTGAATCTTATCAGAACATTGTAAAATAGGAAAAGCAGTCTTCTTCTTTTCTCCATGAGGAAACAAAGGCTCAGAAATGTTAAGTAACTTGCTCAAGGTCGCAAAGCAGAGGTAGGTTTGAGACTCAGGTGGGTTCCAAACACTAGGACTAGAGCTCTTTTTATCAAATAATGCCTACCTTAAAAAGGAGTCAAGAGCCCAACTGGTAAAATAAATCTGGATGAGATTGTTAAAGAGTTAAGAGGCAATATCTGCTTAAAGATACTAATATATAAGAGGTTCTAATTGATGAGTAAGGGGATAAATCAGCAGACTTCTCAGACCTCTTCAGCTAATTTGTAATACTAAGATTTTTCCAGGATATTATTACTTATCATCTCCTTATAGATTCTTGTTTATCTTCTTTCTGATATATCTGTTAATGACAACTGTCAAAGAAAGAATGAGTAAGGAACAACATCTTGCAACTGTTGGAATCTACCTAAGCACCGTTGGCTTAATTAAAACAACAACAAAAACACACTTATATATTATCTGTACAATCATTCAGGCAGATTTTTGGTCTCATTCTTTACAGAGTTAAGTAGGTTTGGTAAGGGTTTTACTCATTAATTTGCCATATATTTATATATAAACAATTAACAAACAGTTCTATCTCCTAACCTTCTCCCCGCTTCCAAAAAAAACTTAGGAAGAAAGTTATCTTATTACAACACTAGGCGCTTGATGCATGAAATTTTTGCAAGGGGCTTGGCCCTCGCAGCCCCAGTTTCCTTGGGAAGGTCATTTGGCTATCCGGTCTAATTAGCATATTACACTTCTATTATTATAGATAAGTTGTAAAAAATCTCAACAAACACAAACAACTCACAAGACACTAAGTCACATTATTGTAAAAAGTCCATGGATCAACCAGTATGTACTGCTATACACAGGTAACACTCCCAGTTAGAAAAAGTTTCTTTAATTTAGTTCCAGAGATTCCAAAACACACTTAATGAACTTTTATTTACTTATTTATATGTTTATGTTTAGTTATGTAGGGAAAAAATCCTAGAAAATAATTTTAACAGAATAGCATACAATTAATTAAAAGGGGTCAGAATAATGCAACCTGGGTTAGGATAGTTATAATTAATAAAAAAGATGAATCACAAACATATTAGTTGCTTGCATTTTCCAGTCTCTGCATCTCATCTTGTCCCACTTGTCCTAGGTGACATAAAAGTTTGCTATAGGCTTTCCTGTGTAAGAGAAAAGAAGGCAGATAGATTTATTCCTTTTCCATTACTTTTCATTTATGTATTTACAAACTGAACTTGCTGAACTCTGTTCGTACACTCCCACAATGTGATTAAAATACTTTGATTCCTTAACAAACCTTGAGACATACAAATTTCAGTATGAGGCTGACACCTCAAAAACCATCTCTTTAGGAACTACAGGCGTATTTCCACAATGTTGTACTACCCTGACTATTTCAAACGCTATCCTTAGTTGGGTTGTAAACCTATTAAAAAACAAAATAAAAAACCTTATCTATTTTTTATCAAAAACGTTATTTTCTAATTGGGGCACTCAGCCTATTAACTGGATATACATGACAAAGTTGATCCAGTAAATCAAGCATCCTTAAAAGGACTGATTTGCCTACATGGAATTTATACAAAAACAAGGCACATAAGGCTTTCCCGTCCACTTCCCCATGAGGAACATGTGTTGTGAGCAACAGCAGCAATACAAGAAAGCTGCTGAAATAGACAGCTTTCTAGAGAGGTCACTTTGAAATGAACAATGTGTGTGGATGGATGTGTCAATCATAGCACTAAAACATGTTTTAATTAAATACACCCCATATTTTTGGGAATGGAAAACTAAGCCATTTCTAGAAAATGAATCTAGATTTTTAGTCATGCCCAAAAGAACTTAATCAAATTATCAAACCTACCTTTGTGTCATATTTCTGCCAAGGCCCCATTTCTGCTCTGAATCCTTCAGAGACTGAGTGAGGGTAGGAATCAAGTGGATGACAACCTGCTGGTCCAATGCTGCTACTATTTCTAAAATGCTGTAAATCTGATTATCGTGTCTCATACCATAATCCTGGATAAAATGCCTGAAAGTAAATCAAGTTACTTAGGATTACTTCTGAGGCAATAAATTCCTTGGGCTGGTATCTATATGGTAATCAGCTATAACCTGAACACAAGATAGATCATTTTATGTAAAAGTACTTTAAGAATCTAGAATTAAGAGTAAGAAGAAAAAAACAGTTAAAAAGGAAGGACAGAAATGGCTTATTTCAATGTAAGCTAAGGAAGCAGAGGCACCAAGAGGAAGAGGGAAGAGTTGGAATCCCAGGAGGAGATTTTCTGCTACAGTCTGTATGTTGAAATCTGGGTGGTAAAGATGTGGAAGAGACTAAGAAAAAAACAAGTCTGGCTTCCTAGGTATTAAAAAATTTCTTCATGACTCTAGGTAAACAAAACAATATTTTTATAAGGAAAGCAAGTTATTCTTAATATATTTTTATATTCTGGAACCAAACAAGAGACTTTAGGTTCATAGGAGTCCTTTATAAATCAGAATTACATATTTTAACCCTATAACAAACATGCATGCTTTATTCATCTAAATTCTTTTTTCCCTTCTAGGATTTTAGTTTTCACAAATCCATTATTTATTTCAAATGCTCACAATTTAAATAAACTAGACACCTGAAAAGTGCTAATTATGTGATAAAAATAAACACTGAGGAATCAAAGATCCAGCATAGATGAAGAAAATGACAGTAAATTGCTTAGTATGGCAGTGCTAGGATAGAGATTCGTACAATGAAGGTAAACTGGTAGAAACAGTGAGAAAGAAATACTTAAAATGACCCACATTTCCCACTTTTTCCTCTTAAATACATGTAAGAATCTTCCTTACTAAATACACAGGTAATCTGAAGTAGCTCACTTATCTTTCTCCCTGGCACCTTTGTTTTATTTAATTTTTAATATGGAATGCTTCATGAATTTGGGTGTCATCATTGCACAGGGGCCATGCTATCTTCTCTGTATCATTCCAATTTTAGTATACGTGCTGCCAAAGCGAGCATGCATCTTTACTTTTTTAATAAAACAACACAATGCAACAAAACTACTGCCAAAAATACAATAATTAAAATACTATAAACAAGTAGTAACACATTATGTTTTGGATGATTAGTTATTTAAAAAACATGTTGGCTGTCAAATGGCTGGCAATAGTCTCCTTGCCAGTTGGCACGATTTTCAGTTACCTAAACACTGCAGTCAGCTGGGCCGCAGGTTCTCCTTCTGACCCCGCTTGGCAGGCTTTCACCATACACTGCAAGTTCTCTGTGGCTAGCCTTTTAACTAGAAGGAAAAAATTACAGCATTATACATTGTGTCTGAATTGACCAGCTGGATCCTCATTTTTATAAACACACTTGATTCAGAAAAATATGTTGTTTTCTTAAAGTATGTATATGTTTTTCTGTTATTTCTCAAAATGAAATCATTTAGAGGTTTTGTTTTCTTCAAAAGTATATCTCCTAATCTATCCCCCTCTCGTTTTAAGAAAATATAAAAAGCTCGAGTCTATTTTCTACAACCTTATACCTAAAAAATACATGTGAGAATAAGTCTTTCTCTTAGTCAAGCGCCCATATTCAATAATACTGTCTGATCCTAATCCTGCAAGCACAGTTACATACTGATAAAAGTATTGTTTTTAAAAATATATATATTTTATTGATTTTTTACAGAGAGGAAGGGAGAGAGAGAGAGAGCTAGAAACGTCGATGAGAGAGAAACATCGACCAGCTGCCTCCTGCACCCCCCCCACCGGGGATGTGCCCGCAACCAATGTACATGCCCCTGACCGAAATCGAAGCTGGGACCTTTTAGTCCGCAGACCAATGCTCTATCACTGAGCCAAACTAGCTTCGGCAACAAAAGTATTAAATCAGCCTTTAATAGTTCAGCTGATTTATAGGTGAACAGATTTTTTAAAATTCAAAAGCCTACTCTTTCCACTCACTAACAAATATGTAAATAGCCAATTAGAATCCAACAACTTACCTTCACTTAAAATTAGTCAAAGATGTATATATTAAAATCAACTATATTTGATGCTAACTTCCTTTCAAACAGCAAAGTCACAAAAGGACATCTATATTCTTTAAATATTTAACTAAATCCTTTAAAATTGCATACTTGTACATAAAACTAAAAAAAAAAAAATTTGAAAAACAATGTAGAAAGTGTTTCCTACAGATAGAATACAGTTACAACTTTTTAAAAAATCCATTCTTATAATCCTTTCCGTTATCACTGTTGAATAGTTGGATTTACATCAGCCTTTTTACATTTTGTTTTCTAAATGTCTTGTGTTTTCTGTTCCTCTACTATTCTGAAGTCTTTGTCTATTAAATCCAGTATTTGACTGCTGTCAATGGCAGCTTCCACTGCCTGCTTTTTTTCCCTGCAGCTAATGGATCACACTTCTCTGATTCTTTGTGTCTCGTAATTTTTTTTGTTGAAAACTGGACATTTTTTTAGCGAAGTCTACTTCTTTTGCCTTCTTCCTGCTCCCCTGTGTGAAGCCTCTAAAACTGCTCCTCAGGTGTAGCCTTAGGTCTGCCTAGTCTACACTGGAGGACAGTGGTTTTGACAGGGTTCTCTTTGTCCCTTCCCATGTTGACACCAGCTGTTAAACTCCACTAATTGCTGGCTGATTATGCTATTATTTTCAATAATGCCCTGGGGCATAAAGTGCTTCATAGACTGATCTAATCCAGTTCAGGCTTTTTAAAAAGGATAAAACACGGAGAACAGTGTCTGAGATCTGTTCTGAACCGAGGGCTCTCACCAGCTGTCCCTTTCACTAATTCTCTCACCAAACTGGCTGGCCTACAGATTATCTTATAGTCCAGTGAGTCCATTGTTCTTCTACCTTTTGCCTTTCATCACAAACTCCACTGTTTTTGACAGTACTGTTAGGCTTGAACTTTTTCACACTGTGATACGAATGAAATCAGTTCTTTTGGGAGAGACTCAGAGTTCCATGCACAACCTCCTAGGCATGGTTCTGGTGCTAGGACAGAGACAATAGTGCCCATAACTTTCTGAGTGGCACACCACTTTAGGAGAAGAGCGCTTATGGAAGGAGGGGCAGCTGCACCAGGTCCCCTCAGTCCCTTCTCTTGGCTTGCAACCTCTGAGCTGCAGCAATTGTTGGCAAACCCTGTATTCTCAGTGGTGTCGCACTCAATGTACTGCAACCATTCCATGATTGTAGCTGAGAAGAAGAATGGAGCGCCCACTTCTTAACTGTACTTGTATGAAACTTAACATTAGCCTGGAGTCATGATGAGAAATGGTGGACGCCTGCCTCTGGAAGCTGGGGAGAGGGGGATTTACCAGTCTGAAGTAGTTTCTGTCTTACTGTGCTGGCGGAAAAGAAGTGGTCTTGGTTTAAGTATCACAGATTCTTGCTGTTCTTACCACGTTTTAATAGATTTTCTTAAAGATTTCTCCATTTGCTGTATACCCTTACGGCTATTTCTGGAGACTTTAATGATTTCTTTTAAGTAAAATTTTCACCTGTTTTGTTGAGGAGCAGGTTGGCAAAGGTCCTTTTATTGTCATGGAAAAAGTGGAACTCATCAAGCTCTCTGTACAAGTTGTAGAACGGACATGTGTTTAAAATACTCTTAGGCACCTACCAAGGAGTGGATTTGCTGAGTCATTTAGTAATACCTCTTGTGACTGTACAAACTGTCCTTTTAGACACTGAGACAACAAAAAAGTCAGAATTTTCTCTGAGCCAAGCACACAAATCTGCGTTTATTTCTCCTTCAAGGTTACAAAGACAGTAATGTGAAGGTAGAGAATCTGCACTCCAACTCTGTTGATTATGTCAAGCACTTACTAGCTAATGTGGACCCCAAAGAAAGATGCATGTGATGTGAACCTCAAGAAGGAATTTAGATATTGAGATGAACTCCCTAGGGTCACCCAAGGGCCCAGATCTTATAAATAATAAGTCTAGCAGCCATTTGCTGACAGGGGATCCTCACATACTAGGTACCAGGAAGAACCTCTGGCTGAACTCTCGACTTCCTGCACTGTGTCCTGCTTTTTGTAATGCTGAGTCAACCACCTCAAGGAAACCTGGTTTCCTCTTTCTTCCATCAGAATTGATCAATCTAAAAACTTCATTTGCATAAAATTGGGAACATGGATGGGAACTAGATGCCCTCTCCTTTGTCTTGGTGGTGCACAATTTAAATTGCTATTTGAATCTGTGTCTTCGAAAAACAGTTCCTTTTACTCAAATAAATACTTTTTAAAATTATTTATTACAAGTCTAAAATTAATTGGTTTACACTAGATATCAAGAGGCAAAATTCACCTTCCAAACTATGGTCTTCTTCATAATAAATATTATCATCATCAAAATAAGAGGCTAGCTAAAACTTTATACTATCTATTGTCTCAAGAAATTTTGTATCGCACAATACAACAAGCATTCACTAAAATTAAAAGTATGTACAAATTTTCAATGGGGACAAAATTTCTAAAGAAAAGTCTGGGCCCGTCTGGGCCCATTTGGGCATTCTTCAGGGAAGGGATGTTACTATGAAGTAAGGGTATTCTAAATTAACAGACATAGCATTTTCCACAAAATCAAGCTTGGGAGCAAAAAGAATATTTTTAATTATTAAAGTGAGGATTTAACAAATTATGCATATAGTTTTTGAGGTAAAACAGAACATTTCAAAAAGGTGTCTGAGCTTTTAGCTACCACTTTGGGCCCAGTCCTCAGATTCCTGAGAATATACTCTGTACTCACTTATCACACCAGTTACAAGTACTTAAGTAGAAGCATTGGGGAAGCCCTGCCCTGAACAATCACATTATAATGATAAACACTGCCCCCCCCCCCCCCCCCCCCCACACACACACACACACACACACACACGGCCTTCTATTTACATTTTTAAAATTCCTTCAAGATAGAGCTGTGGCTACTGTTCTGCATATTTCTAATAAGCTTATTAAAGAATGCTACTCACAGTGGGGATTAAATAAATGGTGTTTTAAAGAGATCAGTGACAGTAAGGCTGGGGACACTGAAAACAAAAGGAATAGGGTCTACCCAAGAAGTTAGCTTAGATCCTCTAGCAGAAACCTGAATGGGAGAAAGTATGCTGACTTCTCACAATTTAATATTTAACAAGATATATTTAATAATTGGAGTCACATTAACAAATATTCTTTAAGAACTTAACAAGTCTAATCAGAGGAAATAGCATTTAAGTAAATTATTTGCCTTGGGAAAAACTAAATTAGACTGGAACATGTCAATTTTTAACCATTTGTCGTGTTCAACCTCAGTTATTGGCTGATGTTTGTTCTTTAGCCATAATAAATACAAACTGATATGTAACATAAAAAATACAGTTTTAACTATCAATTTAACTTACAGGAACAAGTACTTTTAAATGAACAGAAAAGTATAACAAACACAAACTCAAACTCACCTTGGGATTCGCTGACCAACACCAAGCATTTTAAGACACAAGGGAGGAGTTGTTCAACATCAGAAACATCCATGTTAGTTTCTTTGAAGAGTTGAAGGATAAAAGCCAGAATGGATGCTAAACGTGGAGGAAGCAAGATCCGTTTACTCTCCAAGTAGAATTTCCTGAAAAGAAGAACAATTTCGTTTGTTCTTCTGTTCTGTTTCAATAGAGCAGAATCAAATGACATACACTTTATAGATATTGGCAAATTTTACCTCCCACAAATTAATAAAGCACAATTTCTAAAAAGTATGTATATCTTACCATACACAGAAGCAATGATTACAAATTCTTTTGGTGTGCTACAAGGGCCAATGTTCAATATAGACATAAACTAAATTCTAAGCAACCTGGCCTTAAAAATGAACTTAATTAAAATCTAAATAAAATTGTAATTGTTAATTTTTTTCCTTTCTAATATAAGCCTGTACTCCTCTACCAGCTCTTTTATGATGCAACATTTGTGCCAAATTTGCATAAATAAATCTCTCCTTACATCATTAAGGAATTTGGGAGGGGTATCCACCTCCCCCCAATTCAATAAGAAGACTGTCCTGGGAATTCGCTTCCAACTCTAGCTTTACCTCTTTCCTTCCTTTTGGAAGTAAAATAATCAGAGAGGTAATTTAGGATTTAATATCTTCTCTCAAAGCAGTTCACATTTTAGCAGTAGAATTTATCCAAGGTCATCAAGGTAATTTTTCTGACTCATGTATACATCTCTACCTCTTAGAACAAGTTTTGGCTCCTAACAGGTGCTCAGTGTACATTTGTTAGGTGAATAAATGAAAGCGGGATTGCTCAATTTCTAAAAAGTCTAGACAATATGAAAAAATTGTCAAATGCAGCAAAATCTAAGCTAGGCATCTGTATATATTTGCAAAGCAATAATAATAATTTGCCAAAAGGAGGCACAGAAATCACTAAGAATTATAAATCCCATAGAACAGAAACTATCTCTCCATCATTTCTACTCCATATGTGACTTCCAACAAATTTCACATATTAGAAGATTCATTCATTTTTTTTAGAACAAGGGTTTTGTCTTTTTTTGCTCATGGCTGAATTCTGAGTGCTTAAAAAAGACGTTTATATTGGGTACCTATATTGCATTAGGTACAAGTCTAAGGATAAGAATGTAAAGTGAAGTAAAATATGGTCTCTGAAAGCAAGAGGTTTGGTGTCCAGTGAACAAGCTGGACAAGAAAAAAAGGCTATCATAAGATAGTGTGATAGGTGCTTGAATAGTAAGTCCAGAATTCTCAGGAATACTGGGAAGTATAGGAATAAAGAAGCATGCAATGGAAGAAGGTACAGGAGGAAATCTCTCTTTCTTTCCTGAGTTCTTAAAAAGAAAAAAAGAAAAAAGAATTGTTATATTTTGGGTCATTAACTAGAAATCATGAGAAAAATGTTTTCACAGGCAAATACAAAAGTCAGCTACTAAGCAGCCAGGGTCTTTATCACTGGGCTTTTCAAACAGTTTTATGACCTTAAGGATTTAACTTCACTTCAGCACTTGTCATTGGGTTTTATACTAAAGCTACTTATATAATACACTGTCTCACACACAGTGGTAGAGTACTACAACCATCTTGATGGGAATTCAGATACAAGACAAAATACGACAATTTTGAGAGTTGAATTCTACAGAGCACATAACTTCAGAAGGGGAGAAACATCGTGGTACACTAACATGTTAGGTGTAGGTCTCATATTGCCTACGTGGAATTTAGTCCAGATGGATGGCATTTTAATGGAGAAAATGCTGTAACATAAAGAACTACAAAGCATTTTGGAGGGGCAATAATAAACTAATCTCACTAGGGTTTATATAATATAAGATACCATGGAAAAGTTAGTGACATATTATATATTATGAAGTTTATTCCATAGGCAAAGAAAAAAAAAGAGCAAATGAAGGTCTAGGGGCAGAAGAGTGTCATAATGGAACATTATTTCAGAAAAAGTAATCTGGCAGCACTATTTTGGCTGGGCTGAGAGAAAAGCCGAGATAGGGAAAGTAGTTAGGCATAGTCTAGGAGGTATAATGTGATAAGGAAAGAGAGATGTGAAGAGAAGGGGAAACAATCATTTGCTAGAGAACGGCAAAGGGGAGAGAACAAAACTATAAAACTTCCAAACTTGGGTAACAGAACACTAGGAACACACACACACACAAAAAATGGTTGGAAGAAAGAACAGATTTTAAACATCAAATTCTGTAATGAGATGATGGATAATATCAGTTTATTAAAAATACAAGGTAATTTAAAAAGAGAAAACAAATGTTAGACAAGAATATATAGCACTATAGCATCTTAACTTTAAAAACTGATTTCACATGAAGTTAAATACTTTATGATGGCAAAGAAAATTCTGTTATTGAATCTCCTAATGTGGTAGTTAAAAGGTAAGGAGTTTAGTAGAAAGCCTTAGAAGTTTCATTTATTCATCTGTCTAATAATAACACTGAGCTATTAGACAGAGGATAGGCTAACAAAATAGTACTTCATATGGCTTTTTTTTTTAGCAATTTTCACTTATCTTTTATAAAATATAAGTACTGTATTGTATATAGTATAAAAGTTTCTGATAAAAAACTAAAATAAATATTTACACCTTTAAGGCATATATAAGAAAATAATTGCTCTGTAGAAAAAACAAGCAAAAAGCTTTGTCTTATCCCAGCGGGTGTTGCTCAGTGGTTGAGCTTTGACCTATGAAGCAAGAGGTCATGGTTTGATTCATGGTATGACCAGGCTGGGCTCCATCCCCATTAGGGGGAATGCAGGAGGCAGCTGATCAATGATTCTCTCTCATCATTGATATTTCTTTCTTTCCCTCTCCTTTACTCTCTGAAATCAATAATATATATATATATATATATATATATATATATATATACATTTAAAAAATTATCTGCATATGTAAAAATTATTTTATAAAATCTTAGATAATTCTTCTCAGAAAAATTTTTTTCTAAACTATTAGTGTTTTAAGGGAGGCCAAGAGTTTTGAAATATTTTGTTTCTTTTCAATAGATATTAATGAATTGTAAATACAGCTTATTTTTTTTAATTTTTAGAGTTACCTTATGACTTGTACAATGCATTTCTTTAGAAACGGCATCAGTGCAAGAGTGGCCGAGTTTCTCAATGCCAACAAAACAGGATGTTGTCCAAGATCTAAAACATGTTGTGGTGAAGCTGGAAGAAACCGCCCAATATACTGCTCAATAACATTCCCCAGCAATTGATTCAAATAGGCATTTTGAGACTGACTGCACACAATACACATGCCCTACGGGAGGAAAAGACAACAAATAAACAAACAAAACAAATACCAAAAGGTAAAAAAAATATCTAGGAATTTACTAATTTAGTCACTCACATTAATACTGGTCTGAATTTGTAACTTATCACAACCAACAAGGACTCCGCCCATGATCAATAGATAATGTTTGTATGAAGTCCAGGGAGTTGCTAAGCTCGGTAATACCCCTGCTGTGGTATCTAACCACATACTTGTTTTGGGGCACAAATGAAGCAGGAGAGAAATGTAAGAGACAAAGGAAGCTTTCTTCTTCTCATCGTCAGAAAACTTGACCACCACATTCAACTGCATATATATTTACCAAGTTATAAAATGTATTTTAGGGCAGTTTTTAAAATGGAAGGCACTCATCATTTACAGTTATCTATGTACGGCAAATTTATGTTAAAAATTTTCCATGTTAATAAAGGTGCTACATTTTTTTTTTTAATTAACAAAAGGAGAGAAATGCAGAAGATTATGTCTCAGAATGTCAATTTATTTCGAGGTTTTCATTTGTCACTGTACTATGTGACTTATATTCATTATTTTATTTAATTAACCACTGAGTTAGTATTACTGTAGGTCCAATTTTATAGCTGAAGAAACTGAAGTTTAGGAGTTAAGAGCTTGATCAAGGTCATATGGAACTCAATGTCATACCACAGCCTGTTGACTTAATCCCTTCTCTTTATATAGACATTAACAAAATACTTTCATATGGATTATAGTATTTGATAAATACGAACAATTAAATCAATATCCTGGGAAACAATTTTTTCTGTTAATATTTTTAAATATCCCCTATTACTAAGTATAATCACCAACACAATAAATTATAATCTAAAAGTTCATTCATAATTTGGTATTTTGTGATTTACAGTGTTTTTTCCCCCAGAGAAATAATTAGAAATGTTTTTGTCTACACATTTTAGCTACAAGTATTTTCCCAATAAGAAATTTTGAAAGGTTATTTGTAATGAAAAATAGCCTAGAGCTGTTAAAACACTAGCAATTAAATAAACAATTAAAAAAAATAATGGGCACTCCCTACCCCATTTCTTTAATGTTTTAAGGAAAAGCATATTAAATCAGAAGATGAAATAATGAATACATTTTAGAAATTATGAAGGAAAGAGCTAGGTACCTTTAAGAAGTTAAAGTTATAGCTCCAAGTCATTTCTGTCAAATGGATAATTCAACAAATTTTTCAATTTACAACTATGGATGTTTATAAGAATTCTTATTCAAGATAAGAATTACAATTTTTGGTTTAAGGGGGCCGCATGGAACAAGCACACCAGACTCTCCTGTGGTTTATTTTATTATTATTAAAATATATTTTATTGGTTTTCCACAGAGAAGAAGGGAGAGGGATAGAGAGCTAGAAACGTTGATGAGAGAGAAACATCGACCAGCTGCCTCCTGCACATCCTCTACCGGGGATGTGCCCGCAACCAATGTACATGCTCTTGACCGGAATAGAACCTGGGACCTTTCAGTCTGCAGGCCGAGCTCTATCCACTGAGCCAAACTGGTTTCTGCTCTTCTGTGGTTTATAACTCCCCTGTCCGCATCTTCCCCTCTGGATTGGCAGTGGTTTGTCTTACTAGCAGACACCCTAAACTTTGCTTTAAATGTTATTTTGAATACAAAATTAAAGAGTTAACTGAAAATGTCTTAGAAATAATAAAAATCTGTTTAAAAAATCCATCTGTGGAAGAGGCTGCTTATTATCTAATCAAAATCCATTCCACCTCAGCTTTCCTTGCTAGAGCCCAAATTAAGAAGCACTTACCTTTATTATCAGACACTAACTAATAACAAAGTACAGCCTTGTCCTTTCTCCTGCATTATACATCAATATTTCCAAGTGCCTGCTAAACATCATGACCTAGATAGTCCCAGCATCTCAAACTGATGCTGTTCAGAAAGTCTTACCTTCATCCCCAGAATATCCCATTTCAATAGCACCACCACCTGCATAAGCAGCCACTATAGAATCTAGAAAGTATTCTATTTTTTCTGTTTGCTCCATAATACTTACTTCACAAGTCTTTCTGACTGGAGTTCCTAAATGTTTCTGAAATTTACTGAATGCTATACCCAGTGCCTTAGTTCAAAACCTTCAGATAATGTACTTCTTACTGCCTTCCCAAGTATCCAATTTAATCTCTGCACCAACTACCTTGGATACTGTCACCAGAATCACCGTTCTAAAATGTAAATATATGTCGCTCCGACTTCTTTACTCAAAATCCACCAATAGTCCCCATGTAAAATAACAAGTCCAAACTACTTAATTTAGATAAACCCCCATTATGTGGCTCCTCCTATGAGAGTGTCCAGCCACCCCAGAATTATTTGCTTTTCCCCAGTATGTCCCATTTCTCACAAAAACCATGCCCTTCCCATGCTGTTCCCTCTGACAAAAGTAGAACTTCAACTCCTACCCACTCTGCACTTTGACAAACAGTATATGTACAGTGTCTTCTCTCTCACCTCTCCCATCCCAGTCAGGGTGACAAAGGAGGACGCCTCTCAGAAAAATATGGAGCGCATTATTATAAGTGTCTACAGTAATCAGCATTCTCCTGAACTCTAAGCTTTTCAAGGGTGGAAATTTTGTCTTTTACATCTTTGTTTTTAGAGCCAAACACAAAAGGAATTAAAATCATGCTAAAATGGAAGTGCCCACGTACACCTATACATTGAAATGGCAATGCAGGTTTCAAATGTGCAGTTAGTAAGCTGCTTTAAAACAAAGTTCATTTATTTATTTTTTAACTTCGAAGCAGCCACACTTACTATACCTGGAGATACAAAGGAAGGCTCTTTTGAATTGCAGTCAACAGAGGTGCAGGCAGCTCCTTCTCTTGCAGAAACACCGAGTGTGGCAGCAGTAAACAGTCTATGATCCGGAACAGTAATTTTTGGGCTTCAGAGGTAGCAAAGATCTGTGCCCAGGATTTAACAAGAATTCCTAATAGAGAAGAGCAGTAACAGCAGCTATGGTTATCTTCCAATGAGAAAATTTTGTCGTTCCTCTAAAAATTGATATTTAAAGCATACATGAGCAAATTAAAGTACGCACTAGGGAGAAACATTTAGTGTGAGTCAAAAAACCTTGTCAAGTATTTCACTAAAAAGACAAATTTCTCTAGGCCAAGGAAAACACAGATTTCCTGAGCAACTGATATTTAATATACACATGCACACACATACACATAAACACATACATAAAATGTGATTTGGTTACTAGTATACATTATGTGCATTCATAACTTGAATGTTGCAATTAGTAAGATTTATCTTTGCTTTGGCTACTAGGAAACTCAGAGGCAAATACAATCCAACTTCAAGAACACTGTGAGATCATACACTATGTTTTCATGTGCATACTTACTTGTCCCTGAGCTTCATCATGCACTCCACATTTATTTCTTTCATACCCTTCTTTGTATTTTTCACTAGAGGCATGGTGCCTGAAATTTGTGTGCTCGGGGGTGGGGGTGGGGGTGGGGGTGGGGGCACGGTTCCCTCAGCCTGCCTTGCTCCTTGCCAGCAGTCGGACATCCTTAGCACTGCACAGAGTAAGGAGAGGCTCCGCGCTCGCCAGTCATGAGCCCGGCTTCTGGCTAAGCAGCGCTCCTCCCCACCCCCCTCCCCATGGGAGTGCACTGTTGCTCTGTTGTTTGGTGGATTTGCATATTAGTCTTTTATTATATAGGATCTTACAATTTTGTACGCTAACTCAACCCAGTTTGCAACAAGAGGTGAACTTCAGTTTTTATTAACTTTCAATCGTTTAATATAAACAAATAGTTTAAATTTTAATTTTAAAAGAAAAGAAACAGAGTTCTTTACTACCGGAAATATATTATGAGTTTTGTAATATTGGGAGTCTGTAAATTGCTACATTTGAAGATAGTAAAGCTTAACAAATGAGTAGCCTTTATTTAATAAAGTAATTAAAAGCAGATTTACAATTCCCATTAGAATGTATTATTGCTATTGAGGTCTCCCTTTACTGAAAAACAAACAAAACAAAACATTTAAAAGATCACTAAGTCCTAGTCTAAATGGCGGAGTGGTATATGTACTGCAGAAGCTTTTATATTTTATCTTATCTTAGAAAGCAAAAAGGTGATAAAATTCAAACAAAAAGTTTAAAATTGAACCTCTGAAGGAATAAAAAAAATATGCATATAGCAGAGTATAATGACATTAAAAAAACAAAACCCTAACCAATAATCACTTCTAAGAACAACAAACAGCAACATTAATCTTCTGTTGTAAAAGGAAATGCAATAATCAATCATAAAGAAACACAATGCTCTCTTAGCAATATTTTAAATAACGCTGGCTGCTCCTCATTTTTCCAGTAGGTGGAAAACTTGAGAATGACAGCAATGTAAGAAGAACTAACATTCTAACGAACATTAATATGCCCGTAAGAGGAACTGCCATCATCACCGACATTTCAAATGATTCATATCACTCTTAGGTGTCACCCAGGTATTAACTTATAAAGAGCAAGGACCTTCCAACCAAAACTGCATCATCGAAACTCATATTTCATCTTCTGCGATGGTTACAATGCCTTCTAAAGACCTTTTAAGTTTTATGAGTTCACTGAAGGCAGAGGTGACACATTTGCTTTTCTGCTGTCATAGACCCCCTATTTATTTTTTTAAGTTTCAGCAGAGAACATTTCAGTGCATGTGGTAGTAAAAATGTAAAAAGAGAAATATCTTAAGTAAAAAAGTCTGGGGAAAGTTTAAATACACAAGTAGCTTTGTAAAACAAAAACAACCAAACCAAAAAACCAAATCCACAAGTCATTTTCCTGGCTATAGAAATATTACTTATTTATTGATGAAGGGGAAAATACAGATAAGTTGTGAGAAACATACTGCCACGATTGAAAAAGTGCTGCACTATAAGAGTTCTTATTTATTTACTTGTTTTCTGCTGTATGCATGTATTATGCCTTAAAAAAAATGTTAAGTGGGGTCATTACAATATATATATTTTTAAATGTAAAGTTAGAAAGTAACTTTGCTCATTAAGGAACATTAAAAAAATGCATTGTGTGAAAAAAGAGATAGAGGAAGACATAAATGGGAGAATATACAATGTTCATGAATTAGTAGAATCAACATCACTAAAATGTCCATACTACCCAAAGCAATATATAGATTCAATGCAATCCTCATTAAGATATCAAAGGATTATTTCAGACATAGAACAAACTTTCCAAAAATTCATATGGAATAAAAAAAGACCCCAAATAGTTGCAGCAATCCTGAGAAAGAACAAAGTAGGAGGGGTCACAATACCAGATATCAAGCTGAATTACAAAGCCACTATTCTCAAAACTGCCTTTGGATCAATGGAACAGGACAGAGAATCCAAAAATTAACCCAAGCCATTATGCTCAATTAATATTTGACAAAGGAGGCAAGAGCATGCTATTTATGATAGCTAAGATTTGGAAACAACTTAAGTGCCCACCAGCAGATGAATGGATTAAAAAAACTGTGGTACATCTGCACAATGGAATACTACACTGCTGTAAAAAAGGAACTCTTACCATTTGCAACAGCATGGATAGACATAGGGCGCATCATGCTAAGCGAAATAAACCAGTCAGAGAAAGATAAATATAACATGCTTTCACTCACTAGTGGAATATAATGAACATAAACTGATGAACAAATATAGAGCCAGAGGGGGGAAAAATCTTAGAATACAATTGAAGTAATTCTGTTATTTGCATATTTTTAATATTTCTGACAACTTTTGTGATATTATCCTATGCTAGTACAGTTTGGGTAATATTATTATATTTAAAATCTTTTTTTCTTAAAATATTAATATTTATTTAATATAACATTATATTTAAAATCATTTTTCTTAAAATATTAATGTGTATTGCATGTAAATGGCTAATTATTTTGTATCTACAATATGGTAATCAATTTGTTTTGTGTATTTAAAAACAATAAAAATAAAATGACAAAAAGATGCATTGTGTCCTATTGGCTAGGTTTATAAAATTATTAAATTCCAGAAACATTTATTTAGTATATATTTCATCTCCTACATTGCAAAAACTCTTTAACTGATGCATCCCCATTTCCCATACACATACACACACACACACACACACACACACACACACACACACACACAGAGTATAATAAATGCTCTTATTTGTTCAAAATACAACATGATGATGGGAATAAAAAGTTCAAAAATATGACCAACACCATAAGTTTAAGATTTAGTGGAGCCATGCTTAGTATACAAATAAGTACAATAAATGTCAAACTATGAAAAAATGCCATAAGATCAGGACAGATGAAGCCCAGTGGCGAGATCAGGACTCCTGTGGGTGCAGGAAAGTTGGTACTCTTGGGCTGGGCTTGGAAGGGACAAGGGAAGAATTTCAATGACAAAGACAAAAGTGGAAGAATTACCAAAGAAAGAAGGATGATCAAAAGGAAAGGCCTGGATAGAGCAAAGTAAAAAAATATAAAGTATCCAATATAATAAAACTCTAATATGCAAATCGAACAAATGGCAGAATGACTGGTCGCTATGACACTCGCTGACAGGGCACAGATGCTCAATGCAGGAGCTGCCCCTGGTGGTCAGTGTGCTCCCACAGGGGGAGTGCTGCTCAGCCAGAGAAGCTGGGCTCATAACCACTGAGTGCAGCAGTGGCGGTGGGAGCCTCTCCTAACTCCGCTGTAGGTGAGTGGTAAGGAACTACTGTCCCGGACTGTGAGAGCCCTGGACTGCAAAAGAGATGTTTCTCTGCCAGCTGGCAGGCAGATATCCCCCGAGGGGTCCCAGACTGTGAGAGGGCACATGTCAGGCTGAGGGCATCCCCCCACTCCAAGTGCACAAATTTTGTGCACTGGGCACAAAAAGATATAAAGAGGAGGAAAGTTGAAAATATTACTTATTGATCAATTCTTCTTTAAAAAAAAAAAAAATCACTGAGTTACAATGAAGATCTCAGATGCCTTAATCTGAAGTGTGATTTCATCAAAAGTTTGCACCTTGCAAATGAATGGCAGTAGTATTCCCAGGTAGGAACTGGCAATGTAAAGCACAATATTTCAGTGATTCACTCCCTTTCTCTCAAGAGGATATTTCATCCCAGTCCAGACAGGTTTAAACTTTCTATTTCTCCATTTTCTTTTAAACACTTTAAGACAATAAGTTATCTGTCCCTAACATCTAATAAATTAAATGGGCAATATTGTAGCAGTATACTCTATTCCCTTCTATGGGATCTATACTAAAGAAAAGAATACAAATCAATCCACAAATAAATTAAAAACAATCTTGTAACAAAACAAACAAGGCCCTCATTTCTTGATCAGGAAACTTTTGCTGTGGGTCTACATATCACCAATCCAAAGATGATTTTGCAGTTCCTGGTTAAGTCTATTATATATTTCATAAACATAAAGATATACCTGGAAATCATATTAGCTTGGAAAACTAATAAAGTATATGCCTAAATGCTAAAACACTTATTAATATACATTCTACTATGTTAAGTTTATGATAAATTCTCACATTTTTCTCTGAAATTAAGATGCCTGAATTGCTACTACAGCTTTCACTACATTCTAAGACATCCATATTTACACATTTCAAATTTTCCTTTATATTTTACAACAAATATAAAAGGTTTCAGACAGCCCAAATCAGTTTTATTCATATGTTTACAAGATCAAAGGAAACAGATATAAAGTTTTGGCCACAGAGAAATAAGAAAAATAAAACACCTTCAATTCTGCATAAAAACTTCTGAGGAAATCCTTCTCATTTCTCTTTATCCAGTTCCTATTTTTGGTTAGAAACATAACTTTAGAGAACAAAGGTATTCAAATTAGTGACTTCTTAAAGAAGGATGCACTTTGTTATTACAGAACGGGCACAGAATAAGATTTCTTTTTGAAAGAAGAAAACATAATGTTGGGAGAAACAAGGTTTGAAGCATAAATATCTTCAGTGCTGTAATAAATTCTTTCCTGACCTTCTTCATAGAGAGCAAACCATAAAAATAAAAGGAAGTGATGGTTTTCTGATATTTCAAGTCCTAACAAAACATAGGTAAGCACTAAAAAGAAAGTCCATTTTAGTTATCTAGATATTCACAATGTATGGATTCATAACAGACTATTGATGGCAAATTGGTATTGGCATATTTTCTGTATTGATCATAATTAATTTTAATATTAACACAAGCATAACAAGAAAAGTTCTGAAGGAAGGTGGGGCAAGACAGAGATACACTTGAAAGCCAACATGAATTATTTTGTCTTTCAGATTATTCTTTTGATTGTAAGAACAGTGATTTAGCTACTATATTGATATATTCCTATCCATCATGAAAAAGACTCAATCTCACAAAGTTTTAATAATGTCAGAAATACATACCCATCATCCTATACGTCAGTTGCAGCCCTGCACTTGAAATTTTTTTCCCCAAATAAGGTTTTATATATTTTAATATTTCACCAAGGTATTCTAAGGACTTTTTGACCATGGCAGATTTATCAGAATGTTTCTGCAGATTCCTGTAAGTTATACCAACAGCCTATAAATAAGGAAAACATGATTTAGCTTTCCAAGTTTTATAAAGTATAGACTTTTAAAAATAAAGGTAATTTCTCTTTCTAGACACATACCTTATATTTAAGCCTACATCCTTAACTTTTCAATAAATGTTCACAGAAATTAAAATGCAACTAAGAATTGCCTTTTTATAATTAAAATACAGGTTAAAGTGAAAAACAACACAATTCATTGATAATTACTCATTACTCTGACTCAGCAAAATATTAGTAAAAAGAAGCAAAAGAAGCTTATAACCAAAATCAGAGACTTCCAAATATCCTAGCATAAAACCAGGACTTCAAAATCCCCAAATTCATACAAAGATCATCTAGGGTCAGGTTATCAAATTTTTACAAGACTTCTATAAAATTCAATCACTTCTGGGCCTTTTGGCTAAGATCAAGTGTAGTATCTACAAAGTTCAGCTTTGAGATTATGAATTGACACCCCCCCCCCCCAAAAAAAAATGTGCTTATGAGCCATTAGATGCCAGCTTAGCTTTCTCAGAGGAAAAAAGGATGAGGTACAAAGAGTACAAATGGAAAAACAGGAGATGGAAGAGAGAAATGTAAGATGAGACAGTAAGAATGGTGAAGTGGGAAGAAGAGGAAATCAAAGAATAAACTGAGGAAGGGTGAAAATAAGCATAAAAAGAATGGAAGTCAAAAATGTCTAGCTAGAGATGGGTTAGAAGGTTTGAGTACTAAAGTTTTCAAACTATTTTTGGGAACTTATGGTGGAATTCAATTACCTGAACTGGACATAATGGTACTGATGTATACAATTAGGTGATTTTTCTACTGCAGTTTCAGCAGATAAGACAGAGAGAAAGTAAGCAGTTGCACCAAACCAAGGTTGAGTGTTTGCAGATATGACCAAAGACAAAGGGTAGATGATTCTGTGGGTATTGGTAAAGTGAGACCTCAGAAATACAGTCTAGGTGGATAGGTAATCAAGTGACACCTTAAGAAGATGTTGCACTTGGAGAAAAGAGAGTGGAAAGTCATGATGATGTCACGCAGAGATCAGGAGAGACAGGTGGTTAAAGTCAAAGAGCTTTCAGATGCTCCCAGAATCCACTCTATAGTTATTAATTTTCCTGAAAAGTCATTTAATCAAATTAGGCATACTTAAAAATGTATAAAGCCTTCACACTGTTCGTGGCATAAAATTCAAACTTCTTATACCAAGATGCTCTGAATTCTTAATCTACTGATTGATCCATCAACTAATTAGCACTTAGCATATACTGTACAGTCTTATTATTTTAAACTTTGTGTATATTCCATATTTTCAGACAAGTCCTTTAAGATCAGGGACTACTTCTTTTGTTCTTCAAATCCCTAAGAAATCCTAACATAGTATGTACTATCTATCCAGCATTTAGCACACAACTATTATTTACTGGTTGCCAAGAGAATAATTAATGTGGACTGGATTAAATTAAAAGAGCTTTTCAGTGGAATGTATGACTTCTACCTCCCTTTCTGGTCCAGGACGATTCCTAGCACATTTAATTAATTACAGGTTGAGATCCAATCAACCATCAAATAAAAGAACAAAAATGTGTATTTTATTTTAAATTTATTGCTTTCAGAGAAGAAGAAAGAGGGTGAGATAGAAACTTCTGCACGCCCTTTACTGGAAATCAAGCCTGCATGTGCCCAGACCAGGAATCGAACAGTGACCTCAACCATTGAGCCACACGAACTAGGCAAAAATGTGTTATTTTATATCTGCAGGTACTATTATTAGGTATTTTTAGGATTTACATGGCATTGCTAATTATCATAAAACTGTACTTTAATTTAATGAAAACCAATGGAAGATTTCTCATTTGAAAAAAAAGCTTATGGGTTTTAATTGTTTGCATTGCAGTCAAAACCAATCTCTTTGTGGGAAAATAAACCAACTTTTACTACGAATAGCTTAGAGAAACATAAATCCAAACACATCAATTACCTCAATTAGGCAATAAAGCAAATGCTATCACATAGATTCCTACAAAATTAATATTTAAAAATAAAATGTTGACTGAAACTATTTTTTATGGAGACAGAATAAATAGATTAAATTTTAAAGCCCCAATCACACTATCACGTGAAGTAGGGTGCTGCTTATGCTGAAGAGATTAAAATTTTTTACTCTAAAATGTACACTGTTTATTACAGGATAGTAAACAGTAAGTTAGAAGAATTATGAACCATATACAAGAAAATTTAGTTCCCAAGTACCGAAAGAATATTGTTATCTAACAATTCAACAATAAGATATTCCTACAATTTAGGTTAGCTTTAGTGTAAGGCTTATATGTAGCATTCTTTCCTCCTATATTTCATTAAATGTAATTCTTCTGCCTTTAAGAGTGAATTGTACTATACCTTAGATCCATATTTTTACTTCTCCAGAATTCATAATATTGGGCACCCAATAATATGATTCAATTTAGAAGATTTTCTTTTATAGAAGAACAGTATAAATACTTCAAGGTGTTTGGAAATATGACTGTATCTGATCTAGACAATTATATTAACTGAAAAATACCTCAAGGAATTGAATTAGTGCTCTTTTAGGGTCTTCGGGGGTGGATAAACATTCAACATGAGCCTCTGAGAAAATATTCTTTACTTCTGAGAGTTTAAACAGCAACCTTGTCAGTTCGGACAACTGTTCCATGTACTCTTTTTCTGTTAAAATAAAGTAACGATATTTATGTAATGTTTACTATATAAATTTATATTTTATATATGTATAAATAAAAGCAGGAAATGTAGTATTCTTAATTTATGACATGCTTTCCTTTAAATTCAAATTTCCACATAATTAAAAACTTCAAATTTTTTGTCACTAAGGAAAGCTTTTATTTAAAAACAAACGTGTACTTGTTTGAACAACACAGCCCTAAAGAAGTTATTCATGTAAAGCCAACTAATGTAATAACATATCAAAGAAAGTCTGAGGTATTTTTCAGTCTACACTTTGTGCAATTTATAAATGGCCATAAAGAACAGCTTTAGGAAAAGGCATGCCCTCCAGGCAACCAGAACTGCATAAAAATATATTTAAAAAAAAAAAAAAAAGGCACAAATATCATTTGATGACAAAATATAAAGCAAAAGCAAAGCAAAATATCTACTACAATGAAAGAAAATTATCATAATTGGATATTTTTCTTTTTAAGGTTTTCACTGTGTGATATCTGATTATTTACTTCATATTTCCACTTTTTTTTGTGATCTGTTTCTTCAAGTTGTCACCCAAGAGCAAGTTTTTTGTTTTTGTATTTTTGGCTTCCAAGGAAATAAGCTCTTTTATCTTTACAGGAGAGAAATTATCATATATAGTAACAGGAAAACATCAGGAAAACAGAAATGGGCTGCAAAAGGAAGTAAATTTTTGTTTATATTCATAGTTAATTACAATATTTTTCTTATTTTTTCTCTTAATTTATGGAAAACAGAAAATTTTAAATATATTTAGCTAACTAGAAAGCACAACACCTACAATACTTACCAACTGCCTGTTCCAGATTTATATCAATTAATAAATCATCAGGTAAGCTGAGGCTTTTTACATACATTTGCAAAATGCAACGGATCCATGATCTTATAGTTAAGGCTTGAAAAGATACACAGCCTGAATAAGAAAGTGCTTCACATAACATGCTGAAAGATAAAAACAAAAATAAAACCTGGCATCATTATGTTCCTGGAGTATAAGAGATTAGAAATAAAAAAAATATTGCAGACATACACTGCTGAAAATGGACACTACAGATACACAAAGTAAGACATTATAGATAAATACGGGGTTGAGCAAAAAGACGTTTCCAGTGTCCTTATAGAAAATACAATCCTACATAATATAAACCTAATATGCTAAGTGTCTAGTCGTCCAGTCATCTGCTCAACCAATCAAAGTGTAATATGCTAATGATATGCTAAGGATGCTCTACCACTTGCTATGACGTGCATGGGCAGACAGTTGACGGGACGACCAGTCACTATGACATGCACTGACCACCAGGGGGCAGACAGTCGACCGGTCAACCAGTTGCTATGATGTGAACTGACCACCAGGGGCAGACGCTCCAACTGGTAGGTTAGCTTGCTGCTGGAGTCCAGTCAATTGGGACTAAGACAGGCCAGATATGCCCTGGAGCCCTCCCACAGTCTCTCCCCAGCCCTGATAGTGCACTGGTGAGGTCTCTCAGCCTGGTCTGTGCCCTCTTGAAATCCCAGATCCCCTTGGGTGATGTCGGAGAGCTGGTTTCAGCCTGATCCTACAGCCAGGCTGAGGGACCCCACTGGTGCAGGAATTCATGCACAGGCTTCTAGTAAATAATAAGCAACACTAATAAAAGAGAAACATGCAAATTGACTGTCCTTCTGCTACGCCCACCAGCCAATCAGAGCAAGCATGCAAATTAACCCAGCAAAGGTGGCAGTTAATTTGCATATAGAGGCCTAGAGTGAAGACTGAAGACAGCATAGAAGGAAGCCAAACACTGCAGAAGGGAGTGAGCCAAGGCAGCGGAGATGGGAACAGAGTCTTGCTCCTTTCTTTGCTTCACTCCGTCTGCAAGAAGCCCCATTCTTACAAGAATCTTCCTGCAATGGACTTCTAATACAAGAATAAATTCTATGTTTGGCATACTCACAACTGCAAACATACTTTTGATTTCATTTGTAATATTCTTATTTAATTTTCTTTTTCCCTTTGATGGCTATGTGTAGAGTTTTTGCCAAGGAAAAGAGGTAAAAAAGAATACAATTAAAGGGGGAAAGGAAGGAAGGTGATGATAACTAACTAGATGAGAGAATAATGAAGGAAATGCCAAGTAGACAAAATAAACAGTAGAGTAAATAAATAGAGAAGAAATCATGCCTCTCTCTCTCTCTCTCTCTCTCTCTCTCTCTCTCTCTATATATATATATATATATATATATATGAAAAAAGTTAAAGATAAAATGTTTTCTGTGTGGGTGTATATATAGATCAATCCCCTTCCTGTCCCTTCCTTTCTTGCTCCCCCCACCACAGAGGCTGTCATTATTAAATAATCTCAAAATAAAATCTGACAGATTTTAAAAAAAATATTCTTTCTACAAAGCCTAAGGCCTGGCTGATTTGATTTCTAATCATTTTATAAGTAGTCATAGAAAGGGTAAGGATGATCTTAAGTTCACTATAAAGTGTTATGTGAAGTCAGAAAATTTAAAAATACTTATACATCATAATTCCAGAAACACTGCTTTAAAATACTTTGACCCTGGCTGGTTTGGTTCAGTGGATAGAGCACTGGCATGCAGATGGAATAGTCCCAGGTTCGATTCCAGTCAAGGGTACATGCCCGGGTTTTGAGCTCAATCCCCAGTAGGGGACATGAAAGAGATACCCAATCAATGATTCTCTCTCATCTTTAATATTTCTATCTCTCTCTCTCCTCTCTTCCTTCATCTCTGAAATCAATAAAAATATATTTAAAAAAAATACTTTCAATACAAGTTGTCATAAAAAGAGTATATAAGAACTCAGGTTGGTCACTTATTATCTGTACAACCTTTCCAAAGCTATTTAACATCTATCTTTGCACTTCAATTTTTTAAACCGTTACTAATACACTATTATTTTAAAACTAAAATAATTTCAGCCAATGAGTTAAATAAATATGTTTGTTGTTGTTATAGAATTCTCAAGTTAAAAGTAATTCAATTGAAGCTGACCTCCATTATTTGACAACTGAAAGCCAATGAGAAATGACTTCATGAGAATATCTACCAATGAATCACTCATTTTCACTGACTGGTCTCTTAGGTTATTTTATTTTTCATCATATTAATATTCTTATTTAAGTCTTCCTATATATACACCCACACAGAAAACATTTTATCTTTAATTTTTAAAAATTTCTATTTTAATCTTACTTATTGTATATTTTTTCCTACTGGGGTTCCTTAGATTTCTTATGCAATGTGGCAGGAGATACTTATGGATAAGAAAACCAATGTTCATGGTGCAAATGTGTCTTGTTAATCATAGTCCAAGTTAAGAGTCAAATCTTTGAAATCTAGTTGTCAAAAGGAAAGCTATTATTAAATCTAAAACCTCAATAACATACCAGTGTCTACAGATACAGCAATATCAATGTATAATTTCTTTCACAATGGTGAGTGAGATAGATCATTTCAGGACGGAAAAAAGGAAGTCTCACAAAAACAGTTTTGAAAACGGGCTTAAGCAGTAACTTTTTTTTTTTTTTTTTTTTAAATCCCCACCTGAGAATTTGTTCCCATTGCCTTAGAGAGAGACAGAGACAAAGACAGAGACAGAGAAAGAGAGAAACATTTATGTGATACCCTAACTGGTTTGGCTCAGTGGATAGAGCATCGGACTGCAGACTAAAAGGTCCCAGGTTCGATTCCAGTCAAGCGTATGTACCTTGGTTGCAGGCACATCCCTAGTAGGAGGTGTTGCAGGAGGCAGCTGATCGATGTTTCTCTCTCATCGATGTTTCTAATCTTTATTCCTCTCCCTCTCTGTAAAAAAATCAATAAAATATATTTTTAAAAAAAGAATAGACCTTAAAAAAAAAAAAAAAAGAAATAAAGAAAAGAAAAACATCAATGTTGATTAACTCAGCAAAGATGACGGTTCATTTGCATACACAGGTGTGGAGTGAAGACTGAAGACAACAGCATAGAAGGAAGGCAAGCACTGCAGAAGGGAGTGGCTGCTTCCTGCACTTGTCCTGATCAGGGATCAAACCCATAACCGGGGCATTGACCCTGCAACCCCTTGGTGCACGAGATGGTGCTCCAACCAACCGAGCCATACCCACCAGTAGCATTTTTATAAAGCAGGTCATGAGACATACGTTAGCTTTTTCTACTGCTACTTACTGTCAAAATGCTAATAAATCTAAAAGCAAGGAACTGCCAAAATGAGAGCATGTATAGTAGAGACCAGGTTTTATTTATGAAACTTTTTCCTTTCCTGGTGTATTAATCTATCATGGGTATACATTAACATTAATACCTGAAATAAAATTACCTGTTTTGGAGGAAATGACTTAAATATCTTGCTGCAACTTGAGGACAGATGATATCATCCCAACCAAAAAGTTGTATCATTGCTTTCACTGGTTGAGGCTGAAGGTCTGACGGAGCTGTGCTGGGCATGTCCATTGCCAGCAAAGTAAAATCTAGATATAAAATGAGAGAAACTTGTGGTGAAAAATTGTAAAAAACCCTTTGCCCCCCCCAAAATTATATCAACAGTGATAAAAAGAATTAGCCCTAAATAATAAATGTCACATTTAGAAACATAGAAAAAGCTAAAACTGAATTAAATTCATATTTTCAAAGACATTTCTGTTGTAATCATCTAGATCTCTAAGAAAGGGCTCAGATAATTTATCTCAGCATTACTCAGAATCTGTAATGGCTCTCTCAATTTGCAAATTCTAAACTGGGTGTTTCTAATGTGCCTTCTACAACTATTTCTGGCATCTGCTCTTCTTCATTCAGGCTAATTTACTTGCCACCTGCCACAGATGAAGAGTTCAATCTTACCTTAGACACTGCACATTCTCTTCTATTAAACTTTGACCTACAGAGCATCTATGACACTATGCTTCCTTCAGAACCCACTAAGCCCAGGAACTAGAATTCCTTAATTAACCTTGTTAAACAAATATACTTTACTTTGAGATTTCCAGGGAATCCAACTTAATTTGTACTATATTAATTCGTTTGTCAATAAATTCCTGATTAAGCACTAGTTTCATGCAGCATTCATAAATGATGGCTATTTATTCTCCCAAACCTCTCATACAATTTGCTCTATAGATAGGGTGAGTTTACTGCTGCTTCTAAAATACTTTCCCTTCTTCCTTCCAAAAACTCTAGCTTTGGTTCTCATGTCATCAGACTATACCATCCACTAACTCTCCTTGTTACATCTACTGCTTCCTAGGTCATCTGCGCTCTTTCCTTGAAGATTGTAGCTCACTATCATACTAACAGCACTCCTCATAATCCTTGATGAGGTTCTCCCAGTGTCCTGGCCTTTCAGTTTTGTGAAATCCTCTCCCTCAATGAATCTATCTCCCATGGTGATGATACACAAGAGATCTTGCCATTAACAATAAATTCAATCTCTCCACAATTTCAACACTTGAGAAATCCACTTTCAGACACCAAACTAGCTTTTCAACTCTCCTCCTGTAGGTTCTCAACTCCCAACAAATCTTTGATTCCACCACGACCTACAATTCATTGATCCTACCTTTATCCTGTCCCTCACTGCCTTTGTGACCGACTTCCTTTCCCTTTTTAGGCATGGCTTATTATTGTACTCATTTGTGTATATCATCAAACCCCTTGCTTCTCACTTGATTTGTTGTACTTGCCTGGAAAAACACACCACCTGTTTAATTTCAACTCTTGGTTTTCCCCCTACATGTATCCACACCAGTAAATGGCTGGTAAGCAGCCATGCTGACTGATGTCATTTTAAAGTTTTAATTACAAACTTTACGTGGGTCCTTAGAACTGGTCAGCATCCCTACATTTCTCTAGTTCCATGGTTGGCAAACTGCGACATGTGGCTCTTTGGTCCCTTGAGTGTGGCTCTTACACAAAATACCACGGCCTGGGTTAGTCTATTTTGAAGAAGTGGTGTTAGAAGAAATTTAAGTTTAAAAAATTTGGCTCTCAAAAGAAATTTCAATTGTACTGTTGATATTTGACTCTGTTGACTAATGAGTTTGCCGACCACTGCTCTAGTTCATTTCAGTTTTTTTTCTCCTCTCTCTTCCCCATCTTCATTTCCAGCTAATACCGTTAATTACTACTTCACAGAAAAATGAGAAACATCAGAGGAAAACTACTACAAGCTCCCACCACATCTACCCAGCCACTGCCATGGGGCCCATTTACTCTGCCTTCTCTTCTGTTATTAGATAATCTGAGGCCAAGTCCTCTACAGGATCCCTTTTCTCCTGGGTACTGACACTCTGGCACCATCAAGTCTCCCCACTCCAGAAATTCCAGTTTACATTATGCTGAAATGTCTCCCAGGTTATCAAAAAACCTTTTTGACCCCAAGTCTCTCCCTAGTTAACATCCTCCTTTTTCTACTTCCTGTAAACAGCGATACTCAGATTTATCTATGTATGCAGTCTGCTATTCCTATTTTCACATTTTCTCTTAAACCATCTTCAATCAGGCCTTTGCTTCTACCACCACACCAAAACTACTCTTCAAGATCACTAGTGACCTCCCTCTTGCTAATAAATCCAAGGACCAGTTCCCTGGCCTCTGACTTGACCCATTAACAGCATCTGAGCTACTGATCACTTCCTCTTCCTTGAAATGCTGTCATGTGATTTCCAGGGCATCACACTTTCTTGGTTTTCTCTCATTTCACTGGCATTCCTTTTGTAGTCTTCTTTCTTGGTTACTCTGTACCTTACAAACCTGAAGTTTGTCCTCAAACTTCACTTTCACCAATCCTTAATTCTACAGGTGATCTCATCTAGTTTATAGCTTTACAGATTATTATCAGCAGTTTCCAAATTTACATTTCCAGCTTGGACTGCTTGGATTGCCTAGGCTCATCCACATGTCTACTTTACATCCCTACTGGGATTTTAATGGATATTAAAAATATGTCTAGGTCCAATGTCAAAATCCTAGTCTCCCCTCGTAAAATCTGCTCCTGCCACAATCTTCTTCATCTTAGAACACACAGGGAATTTTCTCTTTATCTATTTTGCTTACCGTGCTACCTTTAAAATACTTTCTCTACCTTTGGATTGGAAATTTGGCCACTGCTCCCAACTCTGTGCTACCACTTCAGCCCAAACTGTCCATTTTTGTGCTGTTGCAATAGTTCCCTAAATGGCTTCTCTGCTTCTCTCCTTGCCTTCCTATAGTCTGTTGTCAGTCTAGCAGCTAGAGGGATCATATCATTCATTTGTTCAAAACTTCCCAACAGTTTCCAATCTCAGAGTAAAGCAAAAAGGCTTTATAACTTCATACAAGGTAGAATACAAACTAGCTTGAGCCACAAGCTACTGACTCCACTCTGCCTTTCTGAACCATACAAGCTTTTATGGTTTCCCTGTTGTTCCTAAATCACACCAGAAATGCTCTTGCCTCTGCATAGCATGGATCTCTTTCCTCCATTGGGTTTGCTCGGGCCTCCCTGACTACTCTATTTAAATGAACAGCCCTGGCTGATTTGGCTCAGTGGATAGAGTTTCAACCTGAGAAATGAGGGGTCCTGGGTTCAATTCCAGTCAGGGGATGTGCCTGGGTTATAGGCTCAATCCCCAGCAGGAGGCATGCAGGAGGCAGCCAATCAATGATACTTTCTCATCATTGATGTTTCTATCTCTCTCTGAAATCAATAAAAAAATATATTTTTTTAAAAAAAAGTAGAACCTGCCACTGGCCTACCCTATCCCTAGCCTATTCTATATTATCCCTATCCTATTCTATATTTTTCTTTTTCTCCACAGCACTTATTATCATATTAAATACTACATTACTTATTTATTGATTATTCTGTCCCTCTACTAGACTATAAGCTCCATGAGAACATGTAACTTATATATGAGAAAAAGATTACCATCCTTTTCCTACTGGTATTTTCCCAATAGCAATAAAAGTGCATATTCATCAACTGTTGGTTGTTGTTGTTTTTTAAAATGCAGAAAAATTTTCTCTCCTAACTTATCTTTATTTCAAAACAAACCTTAAGCCCACATGAATTTACATTTATATACCACTTACTTTCAGCACCTAGGACAGCACTAAACTTGTGTGCTATCATTTTTGTTCACTGGGATGATGAATGGAAGATAAGTAACATCGGTTACTAATGACTGCTTTGATTATACTGATTGAATATCAATATGTGTTTTCATAGACATTACAGTAGTTGGAAAACCATTGCCCTGTCAGAAATTTTCAATCTATCATTATTTATGTTTTAATTATGGAAGTGCTACCAGAATTCAAGATCTTTTAAAATCTGTACAAGGGTACAATAAAATAAACCTTGGGTTTTTTAAAGCATTAGAATAAAATACACTAAATACCTTCATATAAGTTGCATTTAAAGACATACAGTCACCATACTGATCTCTGTCTATTCCAGTCCTTGTTAACATATTTTGGGCAAAATATCCCTTGAACCCTCTTCTTAGAAAACTGCATATATGCACATTCATATATTCAAATCCATGCCTACAATGTCATCGAATTCAAAGTCCCTTAAAGCCTAAAATGTTGTTAGTTTAATAAGCAAATCAAGTACAAGTTACAACATAAAATAGAATCAGAACAATAATGTTCTATATATTCAACATTACTTTGAGTTCACCTAGTTGGTACTGAAATGAAACTCCGGCTACATTCTTTTGCTCTTGACACAACGTGCAGATACTGAGATATCAACACACATAATTTGAAAATAACTTGGACTAGAATAAATCAAACACTATTTACTTTCCAAATATTGCATGCATAAGCAATAATCTTAAGGTTGAACATTATCTTATCTTTAGCAAATAACCACTTAATTTTTACCTTTATGAGGAAAATAATAAACAAAGCCGAATGTAATTTTTTTCATCTGGTTATCAAAATATTTATTACAGTGCTATAAGTGTGTTACCAAACAACAGAAGGAAAAACTGACAGAGTTTGGAAAATGAGAAACTAATTAGCAAATTACAAAGCTGACCTGCAGCAGCATCTGCAAGTTGAGAGGAAGGCACTGCTTGTGACATTCTCTGACCCTTCAAAAATGAAAAGAAATGTCTCCACAGTGCACTGGCAACTGCAGCAAGGTGGCGCTCTCTAGCCGACAATGAAGACTGCACAACTAGGTCCACATTTTCCTTTCGAAGTTCCTGACACAATTGTTGATGCATATTCCTAAAAAGAAACAAAAATATAGCTAATATCCGACAAACACTTACAAAAATCTTTAAGTACATTTTGGACTTTTAACATTTATGCCACATGAAAACTGAAGAATCATTTTATATAATTAAAAGCTTTATGCTAAGACATTATGCATTTCTGGTTATTTGATGGATGAATGATGGCATATTAAGCACCATAAAGTTAATGTTAATTACTAATGTCAACCATTAATTATATGCTTTGTAATATGTCAGATCTAAATGAGAAACAGGCAGCTTCTGAATGAAGGTCTGCATTTTGCAACTCACTGTGACAAGTGATTTTACTTAAAATCTAGACATGAAAACAATTTTTTAAACCATCTTCTCCTAAAAGCTTTAGGACACTGCTGTACCAAGAGGAAAGTAAGTATATTTGGTTTATGTGTGGCTCTAAGTTAAAATATTTTCCTTGTTTAGAAAAGACATAGGACTTGTACTATTATACAAAATTGTAAAGGAGACAAATCTTAGCATCATGGTCCAAAAAGATAGTCATTTTCACATAGCACATAACAATAAACAAACAATAGAAAGTTATTCTCCATAAAATAGTAAACCATGAATTCAGTACTGTCTCAAATTTTGACTCATACTTTGCTCACTTTTTTTATTTCAATTGAAAATTTAGACAGAAATATTAGAAGAGGAAATACTAAGATATTTCATAGTGATCTGGAGTTAGAAGGCATTTATGCAATATGCATAGCAATTAATAATGGTTATTTAAAACTAAATGCATACTATGATATTATTCCTGTTTCTGTTTACATTACTACTATATCAATTGAGAGTATACACAAATGCATGGATACCATCCTTACATGTTCTTTTTTCAATTAAAGGAAAATCAGTGAAAATAACTGATGAAACTAAGGAAGAAGGCTTTTTAAAAGTAGAGAATTTCACTTAAAATAATTAGTTCTTGAACAAAGAGATAAGACATTAATCCCATATTCCTGATGATTTAAATCAATTTACCAAGAGAAAGGGAACATATGAAATAACTATAGAAAACACAGAATTAACTAGTACATGTAACTAAAGCAATTCCACAAAAAGATCAAACTGCTGCAAGACCACATCTTAGTCCTTTTCATGTAACTACAAATAAGCAATTATTATTATTATTATTATAATCAAGTATACAACATTTGGACTCTGTGACACTTTACACTGGAATTCTTGGGTAAGATCTAATACTACTTCAAGTACTGAAGAAAAAACAAAAAACATATAAATGCCTGGGGAAAGAATATCATAGCAAGCAGTTCTCAGAAAAAGCTAACTAAATATCTGGTATTTTCTCTCTGTGTAAAAACCTGCCTGGCATGCTTTCAACTTGAACTAGTGGTTCGAGAACCATTTCAGGTCCTTTAGTTTTCAGTAAGATGAATATCAAACCACTAAAATCCATTTGGCAACTAACTCAACTGCTTGCATCAATATAGCAAAGTTCATAAGTACATTTTAACACACCAGAGTCTAAATAAAATAATACCACCATTTGCACAGCCCATTTATAGCTTTTTCAAAGTACTGGTTTCAAATGATAATAAATAACTTTTACTTGGATAGGATGGATTTTGCCCATTATTTCTGAATAAGTAAGCTTTTCTTCAGTAACTAAAACCTATTTCCTAGGAAGGGGTATCATTTCTGATCATCCTCTATGTGCTAGAAATTCTTTTAAGTAAAAATCAGAACAATTGTATAAGATAGGTATCATTAATCCTCTTTATAAATGATAAAGTAAAATAATGTACCTCAAGGTCACATGGATAAGAAGGGCTGGCCCTGAAATCTGAACATAAATCTGATTCTGAAGCCTGTACTTTTCTTACACACTAAGATACACTCTTATGCACTATGACACACATGTGCACGCACACTTTAAACACTGATAAATTCTCTCCCTACTTGAAAAAAATTTCACTAGGCATAGGAAAAGAAGCTGGAAAAGCCCTATGTAGATTTGCCTTGCAAAGAGCCAGAAGCAATATCAGAATTCTGTATTGGGGGAAAAAACATTAAGATACAAAGAAAAATGCACTGAAAAGCAGTATTTATTTGTTTACTTACTTATTTGTTGATCCTTACCCAAGTATATTTATCCATTGATTTTTAGAGAGAGTAGAAAGGAGTGGGAGAGACAGAGAGGAACATCAATGTGAGACACATTGATTGGCTGCCTCCTGCCCATGCCCTATGAGGGCTGGGGAGCAAGCCTGCAACTAAGGTATATGCTCTCAACCAGAATCGAACCTGGGACCCTGAGTCCTTAGGTGATGCTCTATCCACTGAGCCAAACTGGCTAGGGCTCAAGGCAATATTTAAAATGGGCAACAAAGCTGAACCATTTTTGACCTCTCCACAGCAAAATGTTGAGGTATAGGGGAGTATAACTAAAGAGTATTACGGGGATCTGATTCAGAACTCTGAAAACAAACAAACAAACAAACAAACAAACAAACAACCACAAACCCCTTGGTTAAAAAATTAAAGCTAGCAATTAGACTCTCCAATGTAAGAGTTAACACAGCAAAAACAAGTTTCAATTAAGTACAAGACACTGACCCCTAAACAGACTTGTTTTATAAATGTGCAATCACTTAGTATTTTGGTATGAAAAGAAGCTATATATCCTGGAATATGCAAATACTTCCTGCTCCATGGTTTGTATGCTAAAGCAGTGTCAGTCTGAATAAGAAGAATGATAATCTGTTATTGTAACACAATACAAATATTTTTAAGACCTTATAATCATTTCTGTAAACATGAAGAAATCAGAGAGAGGCAAATACAGGAAATGCCAAAGATTTACTGCAATGTAGATCTGAGGGAAGAATCAAATTTCTGCACTATAGTAAATATAGTTAGAAAAACCCATGCATTCATAGGTAATTTTTTAAATCACATTTTCTACACCAGAAAACTAACTACGCAAATATTACAGAAGAATACGTTTATTATATTAGATGTGGCTGCATACCTCCTGAAGGAACATAGATAAAAACATACACATTGAAAGAAGCTCTGTCACTAGTGGTAACATTATTAAAGAAAACACAAAACATATAAAATCTATAGAGAATCTAATATAGTTCTAGATGTCATGGCTATTTTACAAACCATTTTCTACATTCTTCTACAAACAGTAGAAAAGTAAAACTCAATATATAAAAGTAAAAATATGAAAGCACTAAAGGTAAAATGTGATTTCAAGTTAAAAAAAAAAAAAAAAAAAAGGTATCACAAGAGATGTAGACTCTCCCAACACTTGGAAAAATATTGTGAGTAAAGACAATCTTACCATGGGTTAAAATCATGTTGGAAAAACACATGGAAATATACATGCATAACTAGCCCAATTACATTCTAAAAGATGCAATATAGTAGAGTAGAAAATAAAATTTTCCGAATGTCTCAATTCAAATTTCAGTTCACATAATAAAAACAATAGCAACATCCAGCATTTATTGGTATTTACCATGTGCAAAGCATCATGCTAAGTGTTTTATAAGCATTATTTCTCACTCTATGGATTAGGTAAAGTTATGTTTCTGCCATTTATTCTGTGACTGGAAGAAAAGTTTAACCTCTGGTTAACAATAGTCCTAAACTTAACACAAAGATTCAAAGAAAAATTATCATGCTAGAATTCAGACTGACTTAAGTTTTACAGCTCATCAAGATGATTGAGGGTAAAGACCATATTTAAGCTTGGTTGAAGCCCTTTGACATTACAGCTATAAGATACTCTAGGCAGATGAATGGTATGACTTAAGGATTTCTAAAAGAACAAGACAGCAATCACCACTTGACCGTGACAACTCATTTCCAAAGGCACAATGCCACATAACCTTGTTCTGTTTATATTCAGTTTAGGCACTCGTTTCCAGAAACTCACCACCAAATTCAAGAGCAAGTATGTGGTAGAAGAAATGGTCTCAATAGTCAGTGTCCAAGCTTGCCAGAATACCACATGGATAAGATGTTATGATCCAGGGTCTTTGTCCTTGATGTTAGAGGTACTTCAGAGGTAAGTAAGATCATCTCTGTAAGAAGTCTCACAATACACACACACACACACACACACACACACACACACACACGCCTAAACGACCAAACGATTGGTCGCTATGTTGTGTACTGATCACCAGGGGGCAGATGCTCAACACAGCTCAGCTGACCGACAGGCGCCAGATGTAGGGCTCACTGCTGATGAGCACAGCTGTGGCAGCACAACTGCACAGTGGGAGATGCAAGCAGGGCTGGGATGAGGGGAGCTGTGTGGCCTGGGCTTGGGCTCCTCCCTTACTGCCTGCCCCTTTGCACACTACAACATCCCCACAGGGGTCCTGGGTTGTGAGAGGGTGTAGGCCAGGCTGAGGGACCCCACTGGTGCACGAATATGTGCACTGGACCTCTAGTGTTAAAGTGCTAAAGTCATCACACTAGTCTTTTGGGATTTCAAATATGTTTTTCTTCCTCTTTAACTATAATTAGCAAACATACACATACACACAAAATAGTTAAGTTAGGTGTAGATTTTTCATAGAAGAAAAATAAGAAGGAAAAATCCTTAGCAACTAATGGCTAAAAAAGAAAATCAGGATACATTGATCTGCAACACAGGCAATAATGTGAACAGTTTATAAAAATGGCCTTTATTTTAGAACAGAAATCTCTAATCTCTCAGTTTGTTTTTTTTCATTATACATGGCTACAAATTTTTTGCCACTCCTTGGATCTAGCAGTTTTGTGACTGCTGTGACCAACAGACATGACATTATGTGACTCCAAGATTTGGTAATAAAAAACTATGAAGCTTCTGTCTTGTTTGCTGGGAAAACTCAGTCTTAGAGAACTGAAATGCCACGTACTAAGTACAATTACCCTGAAAAAACACTTTCAAAAATAGGTAGCACTTAACAACTGTCCTGGCTAAGCCTGTCTTCAGCCATTCTA